TTCTTTCCGACAAGCTTTTTTCACCTTAATACCATAATATCGCGAGAGATGTCCACCCCCCGAAAGATAACCCGACCCTATTTTTGGCACGATTTGCTACTTTTTCAGAAACACGGAAAGATAGCCGACTTCTAGTAATTGGAGGGCTGGGGTCACCTAATGGTGACCTCAGCAGAAATGGTGTTACTTAGCTGCGGCAGGAGATAAGCAAATATTGCTGACTGGGAAGGACAGTCACCTTTGGTTCATCGCCCCTCCCAGCAATCTCAAGTTTTGAGTCACCAAATCTAAAACTAGCATTTTTTCAGCTTGTTTTTATGGCCCATTGAAACTTAGCACACTTCCTATTTTCACCCCATTTTCTTTGGAATTTAGGTGAGCTATATCTCAAGATATTACGGTAAATGCTACAGCTGCCCACAATGTCATTTCTTGTTTTGGCGATATTAGGCTTAGGTGGATGTCGGTTCATAAAGGCATTTTGTCTTTCTCAATTACCTTTCGTTTCAGGGAACGTCATGTTCTCAAAGTTTCGTATTCTCTATCCTAACTGCTAGCGTCACATTCTCACGGAGTTTAAGCTTTCTGCAATGCACAGTTTATTTACCCGGGCCTAAAAACACTGTCCCTTTTCCCCGGGAACACCCTGTATGCATTGGCTCAGGTGTGATGCCCGGAGCAAGTTAGAGCCACTCAGTAAGCTACGCTTCAAAGTAGCGGCACTGCAGCCGTCCTGGTGCTTAGAACCCCATTGTTAATTGCCAGTCATACTAAGAGAATTGTTAAAACTGTCCGTGACGAAGTCCTGAACTCCCCGACACAAATGGAACGATTGCCAATTGTGCCTGCTTTGCTCCAAGCACCAAAATGGCGATCCCACAAAAAGATTGGGGAAGTGAAGTGCCGATACAACGAGCGCAGCTCATTCGGTGACTCCAGACCGACGTGTTTACACACACTGGCTCAAACCACCTGATGTGTTTGTGTTTGTCTCGCAAGTAGCATCGAATGTGCCAAAGCACGAGAAACGTGTCTCGGGCAGCTATTGGAAGCAAATGGCGGCACAGCGCTGAAATGAGCGGCGCTTGGGAGCGAATAGTGGCAAAGCACTGCGCGCGAAGCGTGAACTTCCTCACGGGGCTTTAACACTAGCCCCATCTATTAGGTATGTAGCCCTGGAGCACTTTCATAAAATTAGACTGAAGGTTTCGCAGTATTGTCTATGTAAAATCTACACACTATCCACGCGAAATGATTGCTTATAACATTGTCTGAATTATTCCGAGCCCGTGGCGAAAACGTGATGCTTAAAAAAGGAATGCAGACGAAAGTGTTCCAGGGCATGGCAGCATTGTGCTGCCTCACTAGTCACAAGTGGTAGCAACGCAGTCGATCGGGGCTGGTTCTTGCTATTTGCGTCGGGTGCGTCCACGGCAACCAAAACGACGGCAACGACCGAGACACTTGCATATAACCCTCGCTTGCCATCTTGTGTTTGGCAAACAGCTGACCCAATGAACTTGTTGTTGCTGTTGTTTCGGTCGTTCCGAACGCAACCAATGCAGCTGCCTCAATTAGGCTTCAGGTATTGAGACCTTTTGAAACGAAACATGGATGACAAGCTACATTATGCAATGCTTTTCGTCTCCACTTTTTTATTCTTTAGGAACATCATACCAACCGGAGGAATATGGTTCCGAAGATACGCTGTGATCCAAGAGCGATCGTCGGGTTGTGTACAGATGTGCTTTCGAACGGACAGAGAAACGCTGCCGGGGACATCGTCACCTCGAGTGCCGCACCATTGTTTCACCGGCGCTTCGACGGCGCACCCATTGTGCCACGGACCATACATCAGCAACCCAATGGCACTTCATTGGCAACATCGGCAATTCATTGGCATTTCGATGGCACTTCATTGGCACATTCAGATTGGCATCAATGGTAATTGATCGGTGTAATTTGCAATTGATTGATGCCACTGCGATTCATTGGTGCCTGCTTCGGTTCATTAGTGCCAGCCGCAATTCTTCGGTGACCTTGGCGTCTCGTCAGCACCATCTTCAGAACTCTCCCGCAATGCTCCGTTTGCAAGTGTGGTAGACAGACTATGACTGATAGCCAGTGCAATATGTGGTGCAGTGCAGTCCATGAAGGGGACCAAACAAACGAAAAACGGTGGGCAGAGAAAAAAAATTGAAACAAAAAGAAAATGTGCCCAAGTGGTGAAAAGACTTAACTCGGGAGAAAAGAAATGTGGCCATACTTTCAACTGATTCATAGTTCCGTCATCTTAACGGCCCTTGGAAACAACAGGAAAAGAGAGAGGTCGCCGCGACGGGGGGCAGAGAGGCGCGAGATACAGAGATATTTTTGCGTCGCAGAGTTTCCCTCGCTTTTCTCTCTGCCCTCTCGTTTCGAGATTATCATTCTTTTCGCGAATCTCTCGTTTTTCTTTGCAAAGAAAAGAAAAAAAACAGGTTTTTCGGTTTTTTTTTTTTTATGTGAAATGTTCTAGTCTTTTAATTGTATGTGAGGGGGAGGGGAGCAGTTAAAGGCGTCTTAACCACAGGAACACGCCGCGTCTCGTGCAATCATCGTGGAGATTAGGAAGCCAGTAGAGTAGCGTCGTGAGAGAGCTATTTTCATAACGCATCGGTCTTTCCTGCCGTACAAGTCGTATCAAATCCCGTTGCCCACTGCTCAAGGGCCGCACGGCATTTGCCGACGTCGGAACGTGGGTAGTGTCCCTTCGGAACCGTGGAAGCTCAGAAATCAGCACTCCGTAGTATAGTTGTTGTTGTTGCATTTACCAAGGATCTCTAGCTTTTTTGTTATTGTTTTACTGATTTTGAGGTTGGCAGGGCGAGGAGGGTCAGTGTTTTTGCTTTCGTCTTTTGCACAACCGGGTCTGACTGGCACGGTTGTGCAGCTAAGCGTCGTTAGAAGTCAGGCGGGTTGAATGCGCCTTACACCTCTCTTCTCGGCCGAAAACGACAACCTTCCGGGAACAAATCCAGTGCTGAAGTGATAAAAAAAAAAGACAAACAAACAGAAACAGCCTCTCCCCCTGACCACAGTTCAATTCTCCCTGCTGTAAAAACAAGAAGAAAAAATGTACATGTGTGAAGATATATTTAATATACACGTCAGTTAATGTGCAATTTTCGAGAGTGTGTACGTTGTGGATGAATGCGGTTGCAAGTGGGAATGTGTGCGTGTTTTGTGCCTGGAGACAGGTGATACTATTCTTCACTTAAAAATGAAAGTTGTCTGTCACGTTAAAAAAAAAAAAAAAATTTCCCCAGGTTTATTTTTTATCGACTCAAAGTCGGGAACGGATTGGCATTGTTTTGTGCGGGCGTCGACCTGTATTGTCTGCAGCAGAGGGAACCTTTGAAATGTTTCTTTGTGGGTTGTATCGGATCGGCTACTGTGACTTTGTCAGGCAATCACTTAAGGCTAGATCAAGCTAGGAGAAAACAAACACAGAGGAGCACATGGTTGCCAGTTGAGGCTGGTATGCCGGGTTGGGCAGTATGCCGGCCTGGGGCCGGTTAGCCGGCTTAGAACTGGCTTGGGGCCGGTTAGCCGACTTGGGGCCAGTCACCCAGCTTAGAGGAGGCTTGGGGCCAGTTAGCCAGCTTTTGGCCATTTAGATGGCTCCGGGTCGGATCGGGGCTGGTACGCCGGGGGAGATACAAAGCAGCCTTTGTCTTTCAAAAACTCGTCAAGGCGTCCTGGACGTAGCCAAAGGTAACAAACCAGAGACTGCCGAGAACAGCACCCCGTTAGCCGCGCTTACAAGAAGCCTCCCGGGCAACGTGCGGTTAGGGTAGCGGTTAGCTAACCACATCGTCTCCGCACGCTGCCGTCATTGTAGAGTTGGGAGAGGGTGATGGTTGCAGACTTTAAAGGTATGAACTACTTAGGTCGGCATGTTGAGCGTTCCCGGTTCCCTCTCGAAACGTCGTTGCGTAAGCTGCGTCGAGGATTCCGCGAAATGCTTTGGTTGTCTTGTTTGAGCCTTCCGTCGAGAGCTCCGCTACCACCGCATTGTGCTGTGTGTGTATAGTTGATAACACCCAGAGAAAAGACACTGTGCAGACCCTTGTTTTGTGATAATAATAATTATGTTGTATAGTTCGAAGCTATTTTTTTTTTTTTTTTTTGCATTGTCTTGTTGGTTTTCTCCTTGTTTTGGATGTTTCCAGTTAAATACATCAGATTCACACCGTTACCCGCCTTGGCCTCTTTCTTTTTTCGGACATTGTTGATTTCCGGGGACGCACCCCTGGAGCTTGTAGAGACCACTAAATCGGCTATGCTTAGGCCGTCATTGGCACCCGATTTTCCAATATTTTTGTAAACATCACCGCCATTCAGCGCGTGCAATCGGCAGTTGCTACGATCCGAAAGTGTGACTTCCTGGGCTTTAAACACGGTGCCAGCACATTGGTGCTGTACGATTTTGCTCATTCGTGGACTGTGTTGGGGAGTAGGGAGGACGGAAAGACAGTTTTCCGAGGTTTCGGACAGAGCCTCGAATAACCGGGCACCATGATGGTCGAGGCACTGGTTACTCTGAGGCGTACCCTATTTATTGTTTCTACACGAGACCTTCCTTCTAAGATGCTAACTGAGCGCAGTTTCATCGGGGAGTGGGCTTGTGGTGAAGGTCTAATCATCAAGTTAGTTAAATATTAAGACGCAAGTTTGTGCGTGTGTGTTCCGTTTTGGGTGATCGCCGGGAAAAGAGCTCGTGAAATTAAACATACGGCCCAGTGATTGGTTGAAAGCTTAGAATTTTTAACGCTGCTGTTGAACGAATACGAAGGGATTGATCGCAGTGCCCAAAGTCGAATTGTGAATCATGTCGGCTTTCCTGGTTCGTACAGCTGCACTACTAATTGGTTATAAGCCTGGTTTTGGAGGCTTTGGCCAGTGCTTCGAAAATGACAAGGTGTGAGCCAAACGGAGAGCGAGACCGCACAGGGGAAAATGCTTGAAACAGGCTTTTTATTATGTCGGCTAAATAAGTTAAATGTGTTTTTCAGGACAGATGCATCAATCAATCAATAAATAAATAAATAACTTAGAATGGGGATGTGTACCTATGTCTACGTTCACAAAGCGTTGGCCAAAAAATGATGGTTTCTGCGCGAGCTATAGTGTTGTTGCTTGTCGAGTTCCGCAGGAACCGTGAAAATGAAAATTGCAGCTGTGCTCTGATCTGCTGGTTTTTATCAACAAGTCTGCCTGCCTCGTTGTAAAGTGTCGGCGTTTCTTAAAAGCATGCAGAAACTCCCGGCAAGGAGTGCAAACAAACATCTTCGCAGTCATCAAGGCGGTGGTACAGCTGTGTCTGGTACCATTGCACTCTGCTCCCTGCACGAAAAAAAAAAAAAAATATATTATTGTAATTATTAGGCTTTTAAAACACTTTTTTTATGTGTTTGGATAAGACATGTATCATGAAATGCCGCAGATGCACCCACTTCGTCCAAGCACCCACTATTAACATTTCCCATATTTGGGAAATCTGCAAATTATACGTTGAGCACCCAATTTGACCGGACAAGTGCCCATGTGTAAATTAACCCAGTTTTCAGCAGAACCGGGGTGGGCATCTTCCCGGTATTTTACTGTATGTCATGAACTAAAATTTTAAAAATAATTTTAATGCACTAGTATATTTACAAAGCAAGACTCATTCTTGGGCGATTATGAAACATGCTTTTATTTTGGGACGTTGACCTTAAAAGATTGGAACAGAAGAGAGTTTTTTCGGAACCACTCCCGACTCAAAGTTAGTCTCTCTCGCAAAGTCGCCCTCTCGGCAGTGTTGCGCTTGACAACGTCCAAAACACCGGAAACGTTCGGAAACCCCTGCTGGCACGCGTTTGCCAAGCTGTCTGCCATTTTTGAGGCAAACTATAGCCACGGTTTTTGGCTCGCTTCGGTTTGTCGTTGCAACTCTGACCCACCTGCGGCTGGACTTCGGACGCACGGTCCTGGCCCGTCCGGACTTCCTCCCGGACCGGTGTCTCCCTGGCAACTGCAGTCCATCCGGAGAGTAGCTCAGGTAGACGTGTGAAAGGTCCAACTCGGCATTCTGAATGAAAGTCGGACGACGGTGCCGGCCGTTAGGGTCCTGCGGCTCAATGTTGCTGCGAACAAGACTGTGATAGCGTTACGGCGCCCGAAATGCGCCTTCGACTGGCGTGTTTAGCGCTCAGAGTCGCCCATGCGTCAAAAGCGGTCCCGGAGTGGCATCGAATGACATCGCGGGAGCCAGCGCTATGCTGTCGAATCCTGGCGATTCCGGCAGTTGCGCGTAGCAATGTTCTTGCAAAGACATCAAAATAAAAAATTATAATAGGCGTCCGAAACATCTATAAAATGTTCAGAGCTAACTGTCTCCCACCGACGATGGTTTCCCGGTAAATGCTGAAAACCAGAAGCTTTCATTGATACATATGTGGAGAGGCTGGCGAAAGAGACGAGCAATTGTCGGCGTCAATGTCTGTCGTCTTGGCGCCTTAACATGTTGCTGGAGAAGCTTTCGTGGAATGTCAAGCTGACGGCAAGCTCCAGCAAAACGGGCGTCTGCTCGCTCCGCCTCCACCACCGTGACACTTCTATGACATCGCCAAGCGGAAATTGAGGGACTATGTGTGGTTACGCGGTAAACGCCAGTCGGAGATGCACCCAGGTGCCATAGCGCTACTGGAGTCTTTCCAAAGCTTCGTCTACCCATTTATAGCACAGAAATATGGTTCTTGGGATTCCACAACAACCTGTTTACAGAACGGCTAGAAACGCAATGTTACTTGGTTTTGGACAAATGAGACGTAGTGGCAACCAACATCTTTTCAAGGTGGCCATTTTTCAAATTTTTCATATACTATATGTTGTGCAAATTCTCCACAGCAGTCCAGTAGACACGATAGAGCAGTTCTCGAGAAATGAAAAACGGGGTTTTTTGGCCCGGGTAAATGAACCATGCATTGCAGAAAGCTCGAACTCTGTGACAATGTGACGCTAGCCGTTGGGATAGAACAGGAAAGTTTAAGACGATGACAATTACTGGACCGAAAAGTAATTGAGAAAGTGGAAATTTGTCTATGAACCAATGTCCACCTAAGCCTGATGTCGTTGGAAAAAGGACTGATATTATGGATGTTTTGGGGATTTATAGTGATGAAAAACGCTTGTGAGCAGGAAAAAGAATATTGCTTCCTTTTTTGCTGGCAAGTTTTTTTTACTGAAATAGATGCTACAGTTTCCCACAATGTCATTTCTCGTTTTGACGGTAGTATTAGGCTTAGGTGGGGTCAATTCATAGAAAATTTTGCTTTTTTCAGGTATCTTTTGATCCAGGTAACGTCATGTTCTCACACTTTTGCCTTCTATCCCAACCGCTAGTGTCACATTCTCACGGAGTTTAAGCTTTCTGCAATGCCCAGTTTATTTATATGGACCAAAAAACACTGCTTTTTTTTTCTAAAATATCTCGGCACTTTCGTTTGTTTAAAAAGAAAAATCTGAAGAGAACAAGGTGTGCGACATGCCTCTTGAAGCCTGCTCCGGTCGGTCACACTCGTCTGCTTGCACATGTTGTTTCCCGTGTAGGCAATGCACTTGAGCTGCCACTCGCCAATGTCTTCGTTCCATTGCACGCACCTTTCCAGCAGCTCCTGTGCAGGAAGAGAGCAATTAAACACGGTCACTTGGACACGGAGTCTCGACAGCAACTAGCGTTAAAGTGGCAGCTTTCAGTATTGCTGCCTCAGCCCGTAATGGACACTTTACAAAAATACACGTCGTCAAGAAAGCTGCTGCACCCATTCGCCGAGGCTGCCATATTTCAGTTGCGCAGGTCCAATCGCATGTGCTGCAGGTGATGCCCAAAACATGGCTATATTGCAGTGTTGCTCAATAAGCTTGTGTAAAGGGTCTAGTGCCAGCATTTTCTTCATCAAGATTTCCTCATTTTATTTAAGTCAACTGCGAGGAATTATATCATTTCGAGTTTCCTCACTTTACCCCTCGCATGTTTTGACTGCACAACTGTCTCGCACGGCTGTGTTGTGGTGCGCCAACACACTATGGTGTCGCATATCCAAGTTGCGCAGCGATTGTGTTTCAAAGCTACACAACTGCAGAGTGTGGCCGCATCATCTGCTTGAGTCGGACAACCATCTCACCGGAGAGTCATACTTCTAGAATGGTGTAGCATGATTGTACCGGAAAACTCTCAAGGGATACGAGAAAGGGACAGGTGGCATTGCGTTTGTCTCTGCGTGCTCTCCTCATCTCCAGGCTTTTCAGCATGCATGGTCATGTATCACAATCGTAATTTTTCCGGGCCTACCTAATAGACGGTGCTAGAACGCAAGAGTTTACATGGGGGTTGGCTACGGCTATATCTCTTAGGTTGATCTAGATGCGGTGAAACTATGGCAACTCTCTTGCATGCCGTGTCGTGTAGATTGAGCGTTCATTCTCCACTCAAGAGACACTACCTTCTGGGTGTGCCAGCACGTGCTTTCTCATTCTGAGCGATCATAGCCGGAACAGAGCAGATTTGTGAACCAGCTAGCCTTTATTTCAGAGGGGCGGCATACCTGGTACTCTGGCGGTATGTAGGCATCGATGAGGAGCATGTTGAGACGCAGTTCGCGGCTCAGTTGTCGAACGTTCTCCAGCAGCCCTTCGGCCTCGCGCTGGTGCTCCTGCTGAAGGTCGGCCATCTCAGCCTTGGCCCCCATCAGCAGGGTCCACACCTTCTTCAGCTTGCGCGTCTTTCCCGCTGCCTCTTCCTGAAGTGTCGAGTAACGCTCTTCCATGTCCAGGCGTTCAGCCTGGAGACAGGGAGAGGGAAGTCTCATGACACGCTTATCTCATGTGTGCAAGCTAATTTTCTGTGGTGTGTCAAGAGATGTCACATGGGCTGAATTAAACAAAATCTTAATCTACACCTCTCTTGTACGTGGGAGCCATCTTTTCTGTGATGTGTTGCAGGTACTTTGTGGAACACGTCACGGGAGCTGAACTAGAAATTTTTTTCTACACTTGTCTTGTGTGCATGAGCTAATTTTGCAGCAATGCATCACAGGAAAATGTTATATGTCCCATGCATCTGAGCTTTATTTAAAGTGATGTGTAAACAGAAGCATGACATATGCATATGTCATATGCACATAAGCCAACCCTATGGGGGCATGTCAAGGATTCTATAACACTAATATCATACAGATGTGCTAAGCCGCACTAATCCATCAGAAGAGCAAGCTTGGCTTCTGCAGAAGAGCAAGCTTGGCTTGTCAAAACACTATTTCACATGCATGTGGCCTCTGGAGTTCATGATGATGTCTTGCACGTAAGATAATATTTCCTGTCTAGAACCAGAAGACAGTAGTTTCATAGCTGCATACTTTAAAAATTCCAGAATGAAAACATCAACTGACTTCATTCAGACTGTGCCACTAGTCAGCTTTTCCTCCTGATCAGCTTTGCATTCATGGCAGCTTTATATTAGTAGTAGATCTTTGTACATACTAAGCATTCAGATTTCATGAAATTCTAGAAGTGTTGTGCAAAGAAATCTGAAATCTAGACAAGATTAGGGACTTTGAGGCAGGGTGAGCACACTACCTCTTTCAGTTCCAGAGCTTCCCTGAGAGCAGCCTCCTTCAGCTTGCGTTCCTCAAGCTCCCGGGCACTCTCTTCAAGTAGCCTCTCCTGCTCCTCTGCTTTCTGAAGCAGGTTCTCCCCTCCGACGATGATCTTCTTCTCGAGGGCGTGGAGTTTCTGCATCAGACATTCGTGTTCCTCCCTGAAACGGCCATGGCAAAGTCAATTAATCCAGACATGACCACGGCCGTTTCGGAAACCAGGGCTTAATCTTCACAAAGGGGTTTCACAAAGGGGCCGTGAAATGATTTTCCAACAATACTCTGTTGACCCTTAAGCTGGGATTGCAGCCGACGCAGCAAGCGCGAGATCGGGGCTCCAAAACATTCCTCCGCAGGAACAGCGCTTGCCCTAGAAAGCACGTCTCGCAGCCAGGACCTTGTAGCTTTGGCTGTAGTCAAGCTGGTTTGCACGCTTGCCAGACTGGTTCACACACTGGCTCACACGTGCCTGCTTACGATGAGAGAACTCGCTCGCGTCATCCATCAGGTGGCTCTGAAACACTGCCAATCTTCATATGACTAGACCGAAGTTTTACAGAATTTTCGAATGAATGCAAAAATGTTCTAGAAGCCGGGACTCATCATTATGAAACAAACTACACTGACTTGACACAACACAAATAACAATTTAATCAATTAAATGATTAAATTGTTATTTGTGTTACGTCAAGTCGGTGTAGTTTGTTTTGTAAAGAAGTTTTGAGATCAAATCGATGCACTGTCTATGAGAGATGGTCAGCTTACATTGTCAAAATTATTCCGAGCTCACGCTGATAGAACGACGTGTAAAAAACTAGAAAGTAGACATGCAGGTCGGAGTTGTGTGTTCTCTCGTCATGCGCAATCGCACCTAAAGGCAAATGTGGGAACCAGTCTTGAGTGACATCTAGTTAGCGAAATTCGACCCAAATATTGTTTTAGCATCCCTTTTGACGTCCTAATGCACCTATCCAAAGACGGCATTCAGCTGCGTCGAATCTACGTGCCTTGCCGTGTTGAGCTGGTGTTCTCGCGTCTCGAGCTCGGCTGCCAACCGGTCTCTTTCCTCCTGCGCCAGGTCCTTTTTCTCGGACAGCAGTTTCCGGTCCGCCACAATCTCGTCGTGGATCTCTCGCATCCGCTCCTCGGAGATGGCTACGCGGAGACGTATGAAGATAGCAAGATGTACCATACAGGATTTGCACAAACTGTTTGTGATGCTTGCAAAGACTAGGACGCACCTTTCTTCCGTTTCCTCCGGCCCTTCTTGTCACCGCTGTCGTCGCTCGCTTCTTCGCTGCTCTCGTCGTCCGGTGTCGATGGCTCCACTCCTGTAACACAGAATCAAATTCTAACGTCCGTCGTCGACACGTCTACATTTTATATGGCAGACTCCGACTTCTTTTCCAAAGGATTGCCACAATATTACAAGAGATAGAGACCTTTTGTAGGCAAATATATAATAAGCAAAGAGTTTCTAAGACTTCGGTTCATTAAAAGTTTAGCTGTCTCTACAACACTGTTCGGTTCATTAAAACTTTAGCTGTGCCATTTTTATTGGTACCAAATAGGCATTTAAGTCTGAACCTATGGCCCATTTATGAAAGCCTGACATGGAATTTTTTGCAAATATAAGTAAAGTATACTCTCAGCAATTCAAACTGCAGGAAGCCATAGATTTTGTTTGAATTATCAAAAGTTTAAATTATATTAGAAATTCATCTAAATATGATGCAAGATAAAATTATGATCTGCTATATGAATGGCTACACATAAAAGCTGAATTTCCTCTACATAGGCCTACTAAGCATAAGCAGCTATGCCACACATGAAACATCTGTGAAATGTATGACATAGGTTTATTATCTCCCAGAACTGTTGTTTATAGTGGGATGTTTAGACAGCACATGACAACTCAAAACAAAATAAGTTTGTGCATCAGGCCAAGAAGTTGGTCTAATGTGGACCATTAAGTACGGGACACATGACCGATAAAAATGGGCACCGAGTGGCAGTTTTTATAGCAACTTGCGTGGACGCTGTGACGTGGACCTATGACATGCCACCACGTCAAAGCGTCCGTGCAAGTTGCTATGAAAATTTCCACGTGGTGCCCGTTTTTACAGCTCGTGTGCCCCGCTTGAGCCCCGTCGAGTGTGCTTCTCACCGAGCATCGGTGCACTGCAGAGAAGCAACTCTCTGCAGTGCAACAGTGCACAAAAATAAGCGCACTCAACACGGCCGTGACAAAAAGTATGAAACACACGAAAACGCCGTTTGAATTAATCCGCTTATCTACACATTAAAAACATAGCGGGACCACCAAAATTTTGAAATTTGTTTGAATTAACCAGAAGTTCAAAATATCCGAGTTTGTTTTCATGAAATTCTAAAAAAGACGTCCTTTTCAAAACCCCATCGAGCAACACTGGCGGTCGACATTCCTCGAGCACAAGGCACGTGATTTAATCCGACTTTGCGCTGAATGCTGATGCGGCACTCGTACTCGACGCAAGCCGAGTTCGCGCCAAACGCCGACACAGCCCTCGTGTCCAATACATGCTCAAAGTGCGTGCCCAAACAGTGGCACACTCGGATAACTGGCACAACGGCTAGCAGACGGTGCACACTTTTGGAGAGGGTCTATTAGAGCAGCGATCTAGTTGTTACGACTTCTCATCCCCTGTGCTTCTAAGCTCGCTCCCATGTCCACCTCTTTTTCTCTTAGGGGTGCATTGCAACAAGTACCACCTAGAGGACAAAACCTGCGCACGACGTCAACGTCAGTGGACGTCATCGTCAGTGAACTTCGTCTTTAGTGGACGCCAAGTGGCAAAAACATGCTGAAGCTCAACGACATTCGCCGCTCTGGTTGCGGACCCCCAAAGATTGGGAAAAATCAACGGCACATATTCTTTGCCGCAATATGACGCACCTTCCTGAAGTTGTTTGCGAAGATCCTCAATCTCCTTCTGGAACTGCCGCAGCAGCGCGTCCTTGGGGTCCTCGTTGATCCTCGCCTTGTTCTTGATGTTCTTGGCCCGGTGGGCGTATCGCAGGGCACTGATGGTCTCGTCGTAGTTGTAGTCTGCCGGACCGATGTTGGTGCACTGTCGGACCACAAAGAACATTGGTGCAGAGCGACTTTCCCCAAGATCGAGGCCAATTTAATTTAATAACAATAATAATAGTACTCTTTATTGGCTCAAGAGCCCCGCACCGCAGAAAGATAACAGCCCGTACCATGGAGGTCCGTGGCACCGCACCTGTTTTTTCGGTTCGAGGGGCAAGGCTTTTGGGTGAATGTTTCTGATTCAAACCATACATTTAAATTTACTCATTAATTCAATTTAATTAAATATCATTAAAAATTTAAGTACTCGAAAGCAATTACTAAACTAATAATATTAAACATTATTCATTTTCCCAAATGGGCGCTTCGGCAAAGACCAATATGACACTAACCTTCTTTCTGCGCGATGCATACTTTTTGCAAAAATGATTTGACCTGCATTTCGAGAAACGCCCTGCGGATATGTGGCAGCTGCAACTACCGTATTATCCTGAGATACAGCCCACCTAATAGCAAGAGGAAATATAGTGAAAATGATGGGTGGGCTAACCTTCAGTGTGCAATGAAGAAAAATTTTACAAATGCTACTTTTGTACTTTGTGACCTAGGCAAACAATTGTTTTCGCATGGAGGGGCAATGGGCATAGACAACTGTCCCTTCGAGTCAGCAATGTTTGCTTATCTTCTGCCGTAGCTACCTAACCTCATTTTGGCCGAGGTCACCATTGGCTGGAGTACTGTAGTTACTAAAAGCGGGCTATCTTTTGGTGTTTAAAAAAGATAGCAAATCAAGTCAAGAATAGGGGTGGGTTATCTTTCGTGGGTCACTTGGGATAGTATGGTTACTACCATACTAGGCTCCCAGTGACTAGGAGTGTCGCAAACCTGCCCCGGTGCAAGTTCGACCAAGTTAGACTTTCTAACTTTCAACGGGATGTTCGACTGAAGTTTGACTTTTGTGCGCATACGCGAAAATGAAAAAAAAAACTAGTTGACTCCACCTGGCATGGGAAAAGTGCAATATTTATTTGGTGTATTGGCAACATTGGTTCTCATTAATAACTAACGAAAGCATTAAAAGCGCATGCTTTCGCTTTTATATGGTGTAAACATTGGTAATTACTTCATAAAATATAAAATAAACGACTTTCTAAATTATTATGCTTCCCAAAATTTAAAATATCTGTGTAGAAATCAGGCAACACTGTTCATAAGTCAAACTTCTAACCTTTGTGAAAGTTCGAAGGGAACCAGTCAAACCTAGAGGTTCGAACGTCAAAATCGAGGTTCGAAAAAAAAGTTTGCGGGGGATCCCTCCTAGCAGCCATCTTGGAAAAGGGGATTTAGGCAGGGGCTTAAAAATGGAAGCAGAATACACCAAATCGTAAGCGCTGACATTGATGGTCCCGAGAAAGAAAGAACGAGGAACAACTTGGCACACGTCTCGAGCTAGCAAGTTGGCCAATCACAACGAGGGTCTTGGCCAATCACCACAAGGGTATAGCGAGCCGACCAATCACCATGAGGGTCTTGGCGTTGCCGCCGAGGGAGTCCTGAAGCAGTCGCGTCAGCTTGGAGTTGCGGTACGGAATGTGGGTGCTCTTGCCGTCGACCAGGGCCGATATCACGTTGCCCAGGGTGGACAGGGACAGGTTGATCTGGGACGCCTCCCTGAGACGCTGGCCGGTCGACCCGGTCTTGCTCTGCCGTTCGGAACCCTAAGAAAGAAGTCCATACACAAGGTTGTGGTTCTTTGCGCGGCCTTTCGAGATTTACTTTGGGTCTCCACGAATCCGTCCACGTTTGGCAATACCACGAGATCTTATCTCGACGCAACCGACCATCCCAGGCGAAAATTTTCAACTGGGACCAGTTGGTCCCAGTTGCAACTGGTTTATGGAACAATTCCCAGTTGCAACTGGTCCCAGTTGGAGTCGTCCAACTGGGACCAGTTGGTCCCAGTTGCAACTGGTTTATGGAACAATTCCCAGTTGCAACTGGTCCCAGTTGGAGTTGGTCCCAGCTGGAATTGGTCCCAGTTACAACTGGTCCCAGTTGGAGTTGGTACCAACTCCAGCAACAATGAAACACGGCACAAAATGGAAGGTTGACAATACTTTATTGTCAAAAACTTGGAGAATGAAACTAAATAGGTTCGGTGACGTACACGCTCCGGGTTTAGCCACTTGCTTGCGACGGTTGAATCGCTTTTTCAGAGGTGGTATTCATGAGATGAAGGAAGATCGGCCGCTGGCGTCTGTTAGTGAAAACGTCCTCAGCTTCTCTTCCCATCGCGTGAAGAAAGGTGCTCACCCGTGATCCTGCGTTGCGCAGGTGAAGTCCTGATAAGATGCGGTAGCGCTCCCACCTTGCAATCTCTGTCACAACAGTCGAACATTTTCGAGGTAGACCTCCCGCCATTTTCGCCATTGTGCTCTCCGCGGCGTGTTCTCTTCCGCCCGGTCTATGTGCGTCCGGTCTTTCCTGGGTGCCCTCCGATCGCTGAACTGCATCTTTCCATCCTCGAAGTTCACCGCCGCCACCGTGGTGTGTGTACAGTTAGGTCCAAAGAAGCGCAGCTGTAGTTTTGACATTTTCATAACGACGCCAACTTGGGCGATGGCGACCCTTCTCTACCGCGTCCGTCCGACTCCGGCGTCAGCATAGGCAGCGCCATCTGTCGACAGCGCGTACCACTAATCCGCACACGCGTGCCACGGCGGCCGGCTAGCTCTGATTAGTCAAAAGATAAATTTATTTATTAAAAGAAAAAAAAATACTGTAGGTATTTAAATAAATGTTTTAATATATTTTAATAATGCACTAAAAGTGTAAATGTAGGTGAACACATTTTGTCACTAATTATATTTTCCAATTAAAAAATTATTTAGTTAATTAAAATTTTGATATTTTTATAAATATATAAATGTACCCCAGTAATTAAAATTCCCTATTTGTATAAATCTAAAAATGTTAGTGTTTTTAGTTTTCTTCATTAGCAAAGGTCAATACACCCCCAACTTGTCCAAATTGTTGCCCAGTGTGAACTGGGAACGGGAAAGGCATTTGAAGTCCGACTGGGAATCGCTCCAACCAGTTACTTTCCTAACTGGTTCCAGTGCACTCCATTCCCAACTGGGAGTCAAACCAGTTGACTCCCAACTGGGAATGGTTCAAACCAGTTGACTCCCAACTGGGAATGGTTCAAACCAGTTGACTCCCAACTGGGAATGGTTCGAACCAGTTGACCCCTCAGCTGGCCCCAGTTGGACTCCTATTGGTCCCAGTTGATTCCCAGTTGGGACCAGTTAGTCCCAGTTGATTCCCAGTTGGGACCAGTTAGTCCCAGTTGAAACCAGTTGAGATGCCAACTGGTCCCAGTTAGAAATTTTCGCCTGGGATATGTCTTGGCTCTTTCTCTAAAGGTGCTCATTTGCACATTTACGCCTGCTTACAACCGAGTGCATTACGACCTCTTGCGACCTCTAACAACAATTCCTATATATTCCTTCTTTTTTTGCGCATAAAGTTTTAATTACTATCTTTGCAAAATCTTTTGGCAATGTTATGAATGACTGTTTCTCGTGGTATGCACGTTTGATCTGGCAAGTACCGCAAAACCCTCACTTTAGTGAAACGCCGTTCCAGAGCCACCCTGTAGATGCAAGGGATCACGCGACCAGCCTCAAGCTAGCTTACGAGCGTCGACTGTAGTACGCACGGGATGTACATACAGCCAGGTCGACGAGATGGAGCTTCCCGACGCGCACATGCTGCCTCCCATCCAGGCCACGCTCGCTGCACTCCACCGTGATCGTGAAGAGCGCGTGTGACCGTGAGCTGTGTGCATTCATGTTGGTCGCACCAACCACTCCTGGTAAAAGAAAAAAAACGGAACAAAAGAAACTGGCTTGTTACGATCGTGTCAACGGCTCTGCCGCTGAAGACGAAGTCACTGGATCTTGGGAAAGTGGCGCCATTGCCTTCCCTGCCTGTTGGGGGGATGCAAACGAAACATGCAGACGACCAAAAGCTTACAAGGAAATTGGCTGGTCGGGACTTTTTGGCCATGGCAATCACCATTTCGGTCCCATCAAATCTTCAAAGCTTCGAAAAGGTTCTCAGAGAACCACCAGCCACACCAAGATTGCTGTAAAACTTTGCCTTACTGAAAGCGTTCCTCGCCAATATGAGTGTCTTTAGCACCATGAATGCATCAACTTATATCCGTGCTTATCTCTACGAATCTCTTATTGATATTGTTCTTGCATATGTTTAGAGACAGGAAAACTATTTCTCAGTGCCACCAAGCACCGACGCCGCATGTGGTGACATTGAGAAGATGTGTATTTAGTTCGCCAGTGTGTGGATGACAGAATCTCGGCATACAAGAAAAATGTTTTTGTACACTGAGATTGTGAATCGGCTCACCAAGAATGGAGAGGTCAAAGAGAAACCGCTCATTCCTGAACCGAAATGGCGACCGCTTAATGCTACTTTACCCAGATCCAATGACTTTAGCTAAAGAGATCTCATCTCACTGAACAGCTTTCATGTGTAGGAAACAGAGAAGGCTGGGAACACCTCTGACACTAATTACAGCTGAACTCTTTGGAGACGGGAGGAGTACACAGAGCGGGGCAGCTATTGACATGTGGAAGCGTGCTCCGACATGCTCAAACTCACTGTTCTTGTTGCCCAAGGTCATGATCTTGTCGAGCTCGTCTGCCGTCTTTACCATGCAGCTTGAGAGGCCCTTGACATAGACGCCGATGTCTGGCCGTTCCTTGACCTTGGTGGCAGAGGCAAAACACAGATAAATATGTGCATACAATAAAACTTGCCGTCTGCACTCTTTGTCTGAATGGAGGGCACAGGTCACCTACTTCCAGCCTTGCGTTTTGGTCCCTGGCAAGCAGATCCCTAGCCTCTTCGTTGTAGATCTCCAGGTAAGAGGCCCTCACGAGGAACCTTAAGGCAGCACAGGTCAAAAGGGTACAAATTATGCGAGGCTGCATGGAAACCCCCGAGTTTTCTCTGATAACTTTGCAACTTCAACGAGAAATACTCGATTTAAATTTGGTTACAGATTTGACCAGCCGTCAGTATAGGAGGCTTTGCAACTCTAGGGGTAACTCGCAATAACAAACTGTTTCAAAGGAACAAAACTGCCAGTCTTACTTTTTGTCGTCGCCAGCCTTGGCGATATGGCCAAAAATGTGAGCGAATGTGTTTGGAATGATGCCCTTCAGCTCCGGCACAGACCGATCTCCGGCCATGGTGTACGTCTTGCCGGTGCCAGTTTGCCCATAGGCGAATATGGTACCTGGATGTACACAAAAGAATGCGCTTAAGATGGCTGATGATTGGTGTGAGGTTGGATCCATAGAGTCACATTATATAAGTGTTAGGCAGATGCTAACATCCTGTTGCAAATGTTATCTGGGTTGGAGCCGTAAAGCCTATGGACACATTGTCTATTACCGGTTCTCAAACTTTTGGCCGTGTCACAGACCTCTCGACCCACTCGGAAGTCGTTCGAGGACCTCCAATGCATTCTGCATGAAAGGTATTGTGCAGTGGCATATATAGGAGGGCTTTTTTTTTTTTAGAGCATTTTTTCTAAGATTTAGTGGAGACCCCTCCGATTGCTTCTGAGGACCCCTAGGGGTCTGAAGACCGCAGTTTGAGGATTTTTCTTTGACCGATGTGACCCTTTGACATTTCTATAACCTTGGCCATGCACACTGCAGCCGTAGTAGACGTATAATGACCAACACAAAACAAAACGTCACCATTGTATCCTTCGAGAACGTTTTCAACAATTGGTCTTGCAGCCTGGTTGTAGACGTCCATCTGCTTCGAGTCGGCGTCAAAGACCGTGTCAAAGGTGAACATCTTTGGAGGAGCATCGCCGTGAGACCCGGGGGGGTTGGCCACCAGGAGCGTGCCCTGGACGCTGTCAACCTTGGAAGAATGAACGGAGAGGTACAAGACTAAGGCCTGGCTGAACTTATGCGACACGTCTGATCCGTGCACGGCGGAACTTACGGTGACAATGTTCTGGCAGCCGGCAGCCTTTTCTTTCTCGCTCAGCGGACGACACCGAACCACGACGCGGATGTTCTCGGTGTCGGAGGACATCGCTGGACTAGTGGCAAAAGAAAATATTTGTTGCATTCATCCTGGAGGTAGGTTGGGCGACATTAACTACTTATAGTCTGTCATCAGCTGCCTAGAGATACTCCCGTATGTTGCAAGATTTGTTTTATGCTTTATTTCTGGGGGAAGTGATATCTTTTGCGACACCACTATTAGCCCCGAGAGCGAACACAAGCGTCGCTGCGGTCGCCGCGCCCTGATTGGGTGAGGTGTACTGTGACGTCAGGGGGAGGACTCCGCTCCGCGATCTCGCATCGGCTCGCTTCCCAGCACCGGTTTCCTGGTTTGGCGTTGTGTGCCGCAAGCTCTTCGATGAGCTGGACTTTGTTTACCCGGTGTACAAGACGTTGAGTTAGGCCAATATTGACGTGCTTCCGTACATTTTATAAGCCTGCTTGTACCTTTTACCTTTAAAATTAGGTTACAAATCCCGAAAGCTATCGGCGGAGGCAATTCCGCCGATGAACCTCCTCGTCCGTCCACACGACACAAGGCAATCTTGCGAGGGGTCGGTGAAGCGGTGGCGCAAGTGTTTCAGACGCTGGAATTCTGTTCCTTGCATGTTCATGATTTAGGACGATATTACATCCCGCTTTCAAGGCATTTGAAGCGGCCTTTATATCATGGGTCTTTGGGTGGTCGGCAAATTAGCTCGCGACCCCGACTCTGCGCTTCCACTCTGCATGCGCTGGTTCACAGATGTTTTAAAAGCCCTGCGTCTGATGATCTTTGAACTGCTCGTGGAACAGGGCTGTTTTACATAAATGTAGCTTCTTCGTGAATTAATTATATAGTTAATACACGTATGCATGCCTATTTCTTAGAAGATGCACAATTACTGAAAATTAGTTTGTATGGTAGCAGCAAAAATGGCCGAATCGCCCCCAGCCTGTATGATATGTATTGGACTGCCCAAAATATGCACAGCAATAGTGCCGTAATTTGGAATGTTTATACTTTTTCCTGACATTCTTTATTCCAGCCTTGGGTAATAAAAATATACACCATTTAGTCTGAATTGTCATTTCCAATTAAAAGAGTCTGCTACTGGTCACCAAAAGCTTCCTCAGCCTCCAAACTCCATACAGCTGGACTCTCTGACAACAGAGGAAAATAGGAGTAAAAGCAAGCATTCGAATGTCTGTCCAGTGGTAGATGCAGCACTAGCAGCAGAAAATGTGGAACCTGCGAACGGCGACAGTCTGCGCGAGAAAAGTTTCTGGTATGTTAGCTTAGGACAATTCGATTTAAGTAAAATCTCAATTTTAGGGCTTAAGGGACTAATAACGAGCTAGACATCTTCGCTTACGTTCGTTATACATTACTTGAGGGTTGATATAAACAAGTCCACAAATACCACCCGTGTAGTCCTTTGAAATACTATCCGAATCCAGCAAAGGTCAAATGCGAGCAATGTATATAATAAATGTTCCTTGTTTTTTTACTCTGCTCCTGCACTTGGGCTGTCTTACTTCTGATTCTCTCCCCATGGCCCAGACTGGTATTTAACATGTTGCTCGAGGAGCATGCAGCTTTTCTGCTTCGGCGATCTTGTTTAAAAGCAGATACAAAAGAAAAATTCTATACATAACCTGCCAATTCATTCAAACCATCAACAGAATTTATTGTGCGAGATGTAAATCTATAATGATGCTCCTGCAATCGTGGCCACATTTCTTTATTTTCATACACCAGCTGCGATTAATGCGTTGCCTGCCCTGTCAACCATGCTTAAAATATTGGTTGAAGTTTCGCCGGTAGCTACAGGCCATACCTCAATAAAGGCATATATAAAAATTTACACTTCCTACGAAAAACAGGCAAAAAAATATTAAATAGAAACGAGCGCGCCGACAGCTAGCGTTGTCACAGCCTCCCAGGGCGAGCGGGGCGAGTCGGGGAAAAATTCTCTCCTCGCCGTGACGTCACCCCGGTTCCCCGTAATTGGGCGCCACGCGAACTGTTCGCGGCTAATAACCTGAGTGCGGTGGAAGCTATACATGCTTGTTGGGCCAGTCATATGTGTCTTTTACCACGCGATAATGCTCCTGCCCATATGCTCACGGGCAGAGGACGGAATCGTGTGATGGAGGCGTTTGATTGTTCAGAGGAGTGGGTCTCCCATAGCACTGTCAGCCTAGGGGTGAATGGGGTATACCTGTGGCAACCAATCGAGTATTTTTTCTTACTTGTTGCAGCTTCCTGGCTAAATTAATATGTCAAGTTTTCGAGCAACCTGCAGTCTGAAAAATATGCAGGCAACGAGCTGAAAAAAAAAAAAAAAATGGTTTGTTTACATGAATTAGATGCAACCACACAAGCATGAGCTGATGTACAAATAACAGTGGTAACTGACTTGGTGTTAACCAACGTTAATGTTAACTATGTATACGAGACTAATCGACTGCCCTACAACACGCGCGCTTGTTGCCTTCCTTTGGGCTTTGGCTGCTGGCAACAAAGTGATATCAAAGGCAGCAAGCTCAGCCGCTGAGCTGCTTAAACGCTGACTGTCGTGTTAGCATTTTGACAAGAACAAGACCATTCCTTCTCGTTTCTGTCATGTTCTGCTCTCGTGGATCCGTAGACAAGGATGTCGTCCGTGTTGCAGATTTATCCTCTGATTCCGCTCAGAAGCTGGCTCATCTTACAAAAGAACTCTGGAGCAGATGCAATACTGAAGGGAAGCCGCTTAAACTTAAAGCGTCCAAACGGTGTGATGAAGGCCTCAGAATATGGGGCTCTTGAGCAAGCTCAAACTTGGCCAAAATCCAGAATTTGCATCGATTTTTGAGAACTTCACATTCCCAAGTTGTCCCAGTGCGTGGTCTGTCACCGGAAGCGGATGTCATTCTCGTTCCACATGCATTGTTCAGCTCTCTGGAGTCAACGCAAATTCTGCAGCTTTCGTTCGACTTTGTCACGACTACCATTGCTGAGCACCAGTCTGTGGCTCTTCCACAGTTTCGATTACGGCCAGGGTGACCATACTGTCTCTTCCTTTATCTTTTCCATCAAGGCAATTGGGATCCTTCGTGGAGCGCTCAGAGACAATGCCCAGGGAACTGCATCCTTGCGTAACTTAACCTTGTAAGGTTGTTTCACGCAGCCAAGGCCTTGAAAAATTCCCGGAAACTCGCCCTTTGGATCGACCTGTCCCGGGTTTCGTGTCGACTACTGCGCTCATGCAGTCTCTGTACAAGTCCCGCAACCCCACAGAGCGGGGGTATGGCGAATATTTGCTCTCAGTACAACCAGTACGTTTAACTGTGTTCGGCTGGGCTCCTTTAACTGTTTTGGCCTCAACCAGAGGCGATACTGAGGTACTGTCTGTAGATTATTTCTGGAATCGCAGTGATCATGTCTGCCCCCATGTCAAGTCAAGACTCCAGTGTCTTGAAAGATACTGGAGTTCTGTGGACTCTCAGTACAATCCTCCATGCGTCTTTCTCAGCTGATTCTATGACTCCAAGAAAGACGGGCTCACAGACGGGCTCTTCGGCTTTGATGACGATCGCTGAGCGGCAGTGTATAGTACATACGATCGTAAGCACAACTTCGCATTTTACTTCGAAAGGCATCACATTTTACCCCTTTAGCTTAGTGTCCCAAATATGCACTTTCCACTCTGATGATTTTGATGACAGTCCGACAGCACAAACGATCGACAACAAACTTTCGATCGTTTGTTCGCGCTAACGGTGTCGCGCAGTGTAGTACCGTGGCTGCCCAATGATTACAAAATCAGGTTCTAAGAATGCGCATTCTACATTATTAGTCGAATCACTTATCTCGTCACGCGCGCGAGGTCGCAAAATATGCACACTCACAGTGGCCTGTTCTTTGCGATGCCTTTTCCCTACGAACTGCAATAAGATCTCTGATGCACCCGATGCACCGTCGTTCATTGATCAAACGAAAACAGAACTGCGTTGACTGCGTTTTAGATTTTGATTTGTACTTCTTATATTAATTCATTCATTACCTAGTTGTCTCAGTTAAAAGAATAATTATGATAAATATGTCTAAAAATGTTTAACTTACGTTGACAATAAAGGTTTTATGTTCGAAAACGTATTTAGTGTTTATCTAAACTTGGCGGGCTCGCCGCTTGGGTCAGCAACATTGAACAAAGGCGGCGTTTTTTTCAAAAAGCCAGCAGGCAGCGCGGCAGCGCTGGGCGGAAGGAAGGCGCAAAGGTTAAGGACAGTTACTGCAGTGGCACATACGCTGACGTACGCCCAGTAGGTTATTTAGAACCTGTCCGAAAAGTGTAGCTTCGTTTCAACTTGCGCTAGACTCCACAACCATGCGTGTTACATGCAGCATCTGCATGGACTGTTTCGACCGCACCAGCATCGACAACGTGAACACCACTGCCTGCGGCCATGTTTTTCACGAACTCTGCCTTCTCCACTGGCACGAGATGTCCAAGACCTGCCCTACGTGCCGCAAGCCTCTCCGACAGCGGCAGATCTTCAAGCTCTTCTTTTCCGCTTCCGAGTCCAGGGACGAGGACGTGAGCAGTCTCCAGAACCAACTGGACGATGCCAAAGCCAAGCTGCGGGCCGCTGGCGTGGAGAAAATCAAGCAGCAGGAAGCCGCTGACGCTTTGAAGGCGTTCCTCATTCAGCGCGAAGACGAAGTCCAGCAGATTAAGGAAAAGTACATGACGGCGATTGGTGACCGGAACTTGCTGGAGAGCAAACTGCGGTCCATGAAGAAAGAGGTCGCCGAAAAGAGGCAGTTGTCGGACGAGAACATCGTGCTGAGGGCCCGGCTCGAGGAGTGCGAGAAGTGAGTTCTTTCACAGTAATTGGTTATGTAACCTTTAAGAACCCCGGGCCAGAGTTGGGGAAACGCTACCGGGACATACTGGGCGCAGCGTCTTGCGGGATTGCAGGTGGAGGCAACCGGAGGCCTGCACGGGTCAATGAACCCGGCCCAGCCCGACCCGCTGTCTCTTGGGCCCGGGCTTCTCTTTTTGCTCACTATGAATAGCTCACAAACTGCGCGGCATGGCAGGCTCGCTTGCCTCTGTCACACGTGTTGACTATTGTACCCCAATAGTTTGGGTCCCGTGCTTTCGGATAAATCAAAAAAAAAAAAAAAAATTCGAAGAACACCCGCCGTATCAGTGCCTTATCGCGGCGTGAAACAGCAAGTCAGCGAGGCTAGGTGTGTGCCTTCTGCCACACGCGCATAGTCCGGCTCCCCTGTTTCACTCCGCGATAAGGCGCTGATCTACGGCCGGTCAGCGTTCGCGTGATATTGTTAAAAAAATATAGAGCCTGTAACAATGCAAAAAAAAAAAAAAAAAAGACATTAGTTTACAAGCCGAAAATTATGCTTGAAAAGGAATATTAAAAGGGGCACCAAAGACGTTTCTGAGATTGTCTGTTCTTGGTGATAACTTATCTTACGGGCTCCAAGCATCCTAGAAATCCAAAATTTATGCTCGTGCTTCGTCTGTTTCCCTACTAAAAATGCGATAGAAGTTGGCATCCTTAAAGGATGCCAACTACTGACTGTAGATTTGGCTGGATGGTGCAAGCCACCGCCAGATTTTAATTAAAAAGTTCAGCCGTACCCATTCATCCATCCAGTGTGCACAAGGATTTCGCTCTTCCGCAAGTGGGTTCTTGAGCAGTGTTTAAAGCTCTTGAGGGAGCGGACATGATTTTATAAATGAGAAGTTGGTCTATGAATGCTCCTTAAATCAGCACAATGCCACCAGTATGTAAACTGTGTCGGTAGAATGTGCAGTAACTGAACCTGTATAGACTGTCCCCTTTTTTTACCTCTTCTTTTTATTTTCCTTTCAGTGTGAGGAAACTGATGGAGAGTACATCGAAAGAAGCCGAAGAGCTCCTCAGGTCCTACGGCGACGGCTATGGGACGCAGAAGCAGCTTGCAACATACTGCTGTCTCCTGAAACGGTAATTTCTCTCAACATGTTTGTTGCCTAACCCTAAGGCACAAGTTTCATGCCGACTTGGCTTTAATTGGGGGTCCTAGTTCATGTCAATCTGGTTATGTCACCGGGGTTTTTGTTTTCGGGCCGCTTCGGTGGCTGCGAGGCAATGTGCCGGCCTACAAGTCCCCAGGTGGCGGATTTGAATCCCGACCGAGGTTCCCGCACTCCAACAAGAGCGTACTGCCAAGAGGGCGCCACATAGCCAAGATTTCAGTTGCATGTCCAAATGTCTCCTAGTGATCAAGATTAATCCTCGGCTTCGCTGGGGCGTGCCAGATCAATAGCTCCTAGAAGACCGGGCCCGTGCACGACGTTCTCGTTAGTGGATCGCCAACCCACCCGTAGGCGGCAACCCTGCTAAACCTTGACAAGAATCTTGGCGTGCTAGTGTCACGCTCGTTGCGAGACGCGCTGGCAGTCGTTCTGACGCAAGCGAGGCGGCGCTACATGAATCCACTAGCGATGGCGTTATAGGGTTGGGGGGAAGGTGAAAGGTCTATGCTTTGTCCTCTAGGTGGTATTCGCGACTCCAGCGACCTATAGGAGGCGCCACCACCAAACAAAGATGGCGGCTGGGTCCAGGTCGCGTCGGCTCGGCCGGGCCGCCTGAATGGGTGGCGCATTCAATTTAACAGATTTTCTTTTGTTTAATGCCCAATTTTATGCGTATTTGAACTGAGACGGTTAAGTGTAGCCGGTGCGCATAAACTTGCCGAGCATAGTTTCGTTTTCCCGGTGTTTATGGTTCTTTTCATGTCAAACTTTCGTTTCGGAGACTTCGTTCAAAACCGAAACTATGGGCTCCGGAGAAACGGTAATAGACTCTAATTAGTTTTGATCATCTAAGGAAAGCGGCGATGGCTACAAAATTGTTCCACCGAGAGTAATTTTTAGCTAACTCGCATGCCTCGAGCATGCGACCTGTCTGTCCGCGAAATTGAGCTTTTGTGCGTGTCCGCGTTTCAAGAAACAGCTCCAGTCGTGTGCTCGGTCAAGAACACAGGCTGCAGGAAAATTACAAAAATAAAGCAAGCGCTTCTTGAGCCAAGGAGCATGTTAACCTGCTGGCGCTTCACTAAGCAGCTGATACTCGTATTTAAATTCAGGTTTTAGTAGCAATCGAGAAGTCATTTTGACGAATATGCGGATTATGAATTATATTACGTACTATGTTCCACTAAAGCGATATTAGTATATTCTTCGGGTTGAAATATGAACTTAGTTGACTAACTATTAGGTAAACTGCTGAATAAAAGTATATTTGACAAACAGAGAGATACTACTTAAACTTAGCTAAACGGTTCTAGCCGGTAGAACGGAGACGAATGCGGACAAACTGAGGAGAGTCTTCATCGGAGATTCACTCAGACATCTCTGCATTGAACTTGACTTCGAATCCTGAACGGATAAAATGAGTATTTTTTGTGGCCGGTCAACCAGAGCAATGTAGACGTATATTGCTGCTGGCTCCGACTGGGGTTATAATATAAATATTGGAGGCGCGATAGATCTCAATGACGTGACAGCTTCTAACTTTGCGAGACGCGTCCCCCACCTTTTGAAAGCAGATAATTTCCTTCATTCATCATTTGCAGCGAGCAGGTTTTCTGAATCAAGTAATTGCGAAATTAGCCCAACTCCTTCAGTGTGGTCTTTTTCGGCGAAAAGCAGCCAAGATGAATAGCCAACCCACCGGCCGGCTTTAGTTGCTCAATCTTGAAGCTAATCGAGCACAACCAAACTTAATTAAGAAAAGCAGCTATCGAACCTTCCCATTCACTTGACTGCAACATTGTTGTTCCCTCCAGTGAAACACTTCGTCTGTTGACCTCAGTCCACTGTTCTACATCCTTATAAAGAAACCACTTATCAGTTACCAAGCAGTCGTCACTTTGAATGTAATTAGAAACAGACAAGAAATCAAAACGTTTTTCCGTGATTCCTCCCCATCCAAAAAATTGAAAGCATGCGACCGTGTGCTGTGGAGTAAACGGGCTTTCAAACACTTGATGGAAGGAAACAATCTACTGAGGCTTCACCACACTAATGAACACTCAGGCAAACTTAAGAAATTTTCAAACCTTCGTCAAAATTGTTCGCCAACGCGCCGACAACACGCGTCCGCGAAAGCCACCAGGGACGCGGCGGGGCTCGGAGCGACCTGGACCGACTGGTTCCCAGTTTTCCCGCTTGGCGGCGTCCGTTTTGCTGGAGTCGCGAATAGGCCACCCCCAAATTTTATTTCGGAAACAGTTTTGCACACTGTCTTGAAGTTGCCCTTTTTTTATTTTTGTCATTATTATTATTCTTTTTTGACGAATACTGCTTGTCTACTCAAGCCTGCCAACTCTCACTCCTTTATATTTCTTGTTCCTCCCCAGTCCAGTTTCAGTTTCGAGCAGTTGCATTTTTTTTATTTTAGTAAACATATATCAGAGTCTGTAGCAAAATATGGATTGGTTAGTCTTCTGACATTATAATAAATCTAAAAATATTTTTGGGGCTGTCGGTGTCCCTTAATAGGAAAGTAGGCTGTGCATATCCAGTTAAAAAAAGAAGGAACTTTTTGGCCTTACTTTAGTGGTGAACTACTACTCTCCCCTACTCTCCTACATTGTTTACCTATTTCGTCGCTTTGTGTTTCTTTGTTGGTAGCAACTGGCCACAGCTGATTGTTTCCACTCTTCCACACGATCGTTCCTCGCTCCTCTCTTTCTGCAGGAACAGTTTAGTAAAACGGTTTTCTTTGCAACGAAGCAGCCTTGGTACACTTCTGGGTGTGCTGCAGTAACGAAAAGACTTGTCATTTCTAAAGGCTGGTTCACACACTTGCAACTGCTTATGACCTTGCGTCTTAAATAGTCTTGCAATGAGAGAAGGCACTGGCACCATGTGTTGAATTGTTGTGGAACACCTGCAGTTTCTGTAGATTTCCTCTTTTACAGCGAAGCTGTTTTTAGCTAGGGTATTTGGAATTTTTATGTGAGGCAACAGAAATGACGTCGCGACTTCCTGTTGTCATGCAACGTCACGTGACCTTAACACCAATGCAGCTTCCGCGCTAAATTTAGTGGGGAAACTGCATTAGTGTTGAAGTCGCACAATGTCAATTTCCTCACTAGCGGGAAACTTTCCCTGAGAACAAACACACCTCCGCCATGACTATTTCTATCTTTCCTGTAGCAAATGAAGTGACCAGGAAACGCCTTACGATCTGTTACCTCTTCAGCTAGCTATGATTCTATGCCGATAACAACCAATGAGGCTAGAAAAATCGTCAATCTTATTTTTAATGCTACGGCAGTTAATTATGAGGAAGGTGATGGTGGTGGGCGAATCATGGCACGGTGACTTGAACTGCACTACCTGGTTGATGTCGTCATCATAAATATATTTTACTCTTTTATTCTTTCTCGGCTAGAAAAACTTTTTGATGTTATAAACGACCATCTCTTATGGATACTACATGCATTTGATCTCACAAATAATAGTTCCAGATTCGCCCCGTAGATGGTGCCAGCATGCAAACTAAGTGTGCGAACGGGACTTAAAGGGGTACTTTGGCGTTTCTTCGTGGTCGCAGATTTGCTTGACACTTTTCTAAACACTCCAACCAACATGGCTGAAATGGTATCCCAAATGTTTGGCCAAAATATATGTATTTCTTTTTAATGCGAAAGCATTAACTGGGGTCCCATGGAGCGAGCTGACGTCGTCAGTTTTAAGCGCGAAAACGGCACCTAGTTTCCCTGATCCCAAAGGAGCGAAGTAAAGCTGATGGATTTCGCCTTCGGTTCCACTGGCTGGCGCGCGTCGACTGGGCTGGTATTGGCCGCTGCGCTCGTCAGTTTCCACGACCGCTCGCCCCATGGTGCTGCGTGTCCATCAGTGCTCCGTTAACACGGAGCGTCCGAGGTCAGCGTACCCAGGGGAGCGCGCGCACTGACCTGCGAAAAAAAGTATGCAGCAGACGAAAAAGGGAGCGGACGAGCGGCTTGCATGCTTTCACATTCACAACTCATAAGAAGTGCATAGGTGTAACTCTAGCTTTTTTTTTCACAAGTTTTTGAAATCAGTGTTGGTCCTTCCTGTGTTTTTCAAACTGAAAGTCTCTACCAGCAAGATTGAAAAAGTGACGCCGGCGGAAGGTAGGGGTTTACTCTTTGAACTATAGGATTCATTCCCAAATGATTACAAAAAATTTCATGGTGTGCAATTAATGCTTTGGAAGTACGCTTCAGCACCCGTGCACGAGCGTGACGGCATAATTTTAGACTGCCTGCTCAACTGGCAAGCCTGCCTGCCACTGATGTCGCAGCAGTGAAAAGTGCGGCTGTATTTGAATTTTGGTGTTAGCGTTGGTTCTTATTTGTAGATTTCACAATAACTATTTTTAATTTCGCGACACTAAATAGCATATCGGAAGGAGTAAAGGCCGTTAATTGCGAAAATGTAGTTCATTGGGCTAGCTCGTAAAATTGCCGGAGTACCCCTTACCGAGGGATGCTTCTGGATGAACGAGAGCAGCCGTATGGTGAACATACCTACCTCGGTCGGTTTTTTTCAGGGAACTGCAGTCGACAAAGGACTCGCGATCCAATATGGCGAACGAGGTGACACGTCTGATAAAGGAGGCAAGCCACTGGACTGCCCGGGCCAAGCGACAGGTGGTGGAGCTCAAGGCGCTGGAGGCTGAGGTGGGGGAAACGAAGAAGTTGCTTCAGGATGCTGAGAAGCGGATTAGGATCCTGAAGGAAAAGAGGCACCACGATCACATGCTGCTCGATCATTCCCTGCAAGAAAGGTACGTCTCCCCGAGCACCTCTCAAACTCGGCGTTTTTGTGTGCATCCATTCGGTAGACACTTAGCTGCGATGGTGACAGGGAACACAGCAGACGGACTTTTCTGTTTGGAAGGAGACAGTGGTGTGGCGCTTTTCAGTGGGTGGGTCGTCTACAGAGTTTGAAATAAGGACTTTACGTAAGTGGCCGATTTTTTTCCAGTGCCAAATATATTTGATGCTTACACAAAAACTATGTGTAATGCTTGATTGCTTTTTAGCAACATGAGGTTCTGTTTTTTAATGTGCCGCATTTCTAAAAATAAAAACTGTGCGATGTATAGAGAACCTGTTTGTGGCATGATTTTGAAAGTGTGTGTGGCTCGGAGACCAGACGCATTTGTCCTAATGGTAGGCGGACGGCAGGCTACGCATTGTTTGAAACAATTTTGGGAAACTGACTTTTATGGTTGCCTTGTATTAACCCTTTTAGTGCCGCTTTTTTTTTTTGTCACATTGCATTGCATGCCTCTTGCATTTCTTTGTGTAGACGTGGTCTCCTTTATAACAGCAGCTCGCATACACCAGTCTTTCGTCCGTAAACGCAAGAAAAGCAATTTTGAAATGACTAAAGCGATTCCCCACTACCACCTGGCAGGTAGTTGGGGGGCTGAGCTTCGTTGGAATGTCTCGCGTCACGAGCCCTTCAGGGGCAGCGCCACGGCGTGTTGTGTCCGATGGAGGCGCGCGGGAACGAGTGGCACTTTGCACACCTCTCAGTTTGAGTACACTGTACCTCAGGTGTTCCCACTTGGCGGGATTGTAACGCATTGACGATCATGGTGGCGCCACCTTGCGACAACGATCATAATTACCCTTTGACGTTACTGGGCTCGTGACGTTGCGAGCGTGACTTCACGGGCAAATATCCCGAGACTCATCGCGCCGCCTCGAGGCCGATTTTTAAGCGCTCTCCAGAATCTGTCGGTTGGAACGTAAAATATAGCCGTCCGCAAAAAATACTAGCGTGAGATTATCATTTACTAATATCATGATTCTTATTTCACCCCAAGTTTCGATACCGTAGGCGAGTCTAGAGTTTCAAAGGGTCTAGCTGTTTTCTGTCACAATGTTTCATCAATAGTGCGACTTGGTTTCTCGGAATGTTTGAGCGTAAAGCGAGAACAGTACCACGCTTCATATAAAAATGTTTTTATTTTTTATTTTTTTGTGCAGCCCAGCACCCGAACGGCTGAAGCGACCACGCCTGACAGATCCCGAAACTACGCTGTCTCCCGAAGTTCCGTCCCCAAGCGTCAAGGTATGTAAATGCTCTCTAGCACTATTGGCATCGCTGTGACCGGCCTTTCACGATTGGCCAAATGCTCGTCTTGAGTAGGACTATTTCTGCTCTCGATTACAGAAATGAGAACAAAGTCGGGCTCTCGTCTCAGAAGGTCAGTGTTGCCAACTCAAGGATTGAAAACCCGCAGTCGGGACACCGAAAACCGTTAAAAACCACTAAATTGAAGACATTGTGCGAAAATTACTTTTGAACACATTTTATTGCTTTAATTCTTGCCCAGCAGTATAATCACGGTATATATATATGTATATATATATTAAAAATTTAAAAGGAGGCTTTCTTTTTCTTTCTGACTGGAAATCTGTCTTGCCACGCCCCTTTGTTCGCAGAAAGATGTCTGCTTCATCGGCACCTTGATGTTTTTTGCTGGTGCCAATGGTTCCTGGTGTGTCGCCGCCGGGTTTGCCGAGGTTAACCTCCATGGTACTGATCTTTCTTAGAAGATCCGATGGGAATTCATAGCTAGAACGGCGTTCGTTCTCCCTTCGGAGGCCAGCCCTCATTGTCAAAATGTAGACATCCTGTTCCTCTGCTTGGAGTTGACTATGTTCATCCGACTGATAATGCTCTCAACCTCTACATTCAACCTAGGCAGTAAAAGTGTTGCTAAAGCAAAATCAGCAAGATCAAGGAAGGGGTTTGTGTTGGAGGCATCCCTGTATTTCTTGACCTTGTCCCAGAAGGCAACAGTTGTTTCACGGTTGTTCCAGCGAACAAGACTGAGTTTGTCCCATAGTTTGTCCCTCTTTGTCATAATGAAATTGGTCATCTCTGTAGACATCCTGTTCCTCTGCTTGGACTTGACTATGTTCATCTGGCTGAACATGTCCTCTGCATTCAACCTAGGCAGTAAGTGTTGCTAAAGCAAAATCAGCAAGGTCAAGGAAGGGGTTTGTGCTGGAGGCATCCCCATATTTCTTGACCTCGTCCCAGAAGGCAACAGTTCTTTCACGGTTGTTCCAGCGAACAAGACTGAGTTTGTCCCATAGCTTGTCCCTCTTTGTCATAATGAAATTGGTCATCTCTGTAGACATTCTGTTCCTCTGCTTGGACTTGACTATGTTCATCTGGCTGAACATGTCCTCAACCTCTGCATTCAACCTAGGCAGTAAGTGTTGCTAAAGCAAAATCAGCAAGGTCAAGGAAGGGGTTTGTGTTGGAGGCATCCCTGTATTTCTTGACTTCGTCCCAGAAGGCAACAGTTGTTTCACGGTTGTTCCAGCGAACAAGACTGAGTTTGTCCCATAGCTTGTCCCTCTTTGTCATAATGAAATTGGTCATCTCTGTAGACATCATGTTCCTCTGCTTGGACTTGACTATGTTCATCTGGCTGAACATGTCCTCAACCTCTGCATTCAACCTAGGCAGTAAGTGTTGCTAAAGCAAAATCAGCAAGGTCAAGAGGGGTTTGTGTTGGAGGCATCCCTGTATTTCTTGACCTCGTCCCAGAAGGCAACAGTTGTTTCACGGTTGTTCCAACGAACAAGACTGAGTTTGTCCCATAGTTTGTCCCTCCTTGTCATAATGAAATTGGTCATCTCTGTAGACATCATGTTCCTCTGCTTGGACTTGACTATGTTCATCTGGCTGAACATGTCCTCAACCTCTGCATTCAACCTAGACAGTAAGTGTTGCTAAAGCAAAATCAGCAAGGTAAAGGAAGGGGTTTGTGTTGGAGGCATCCCTGTATTTCTTGACCTCGTCCCAGAAGGCAACAGTTGTTTCACGGTTGTTCCAGCGAACAAGACTGAGTTTGTCCCATTTACATTTAGTTGCTGCAATTTTTTGTTCTTTTTGTGCGCAACAAGGTGGACAGTCACCTTGTTGAGAAGGACTGTACTATCTTAAGCGAATCTTGAAAATTGCGGAATGGGCATACTTCATTGGGCCTATTTTATCTTGCAGCTGTGACAAAAAATTCAAAGGCACATTGACACATTCGAGCTATTCAGAGTTGTGTGCAAAAGAAGCGAGTTGTGTTCCGATATTTGACACAGTGCAGGGGTGTGACATCTGCGCCAATTGCGCTATTTTGATACAAACCCAATTTTCTGCGCCTAGTTGCGCCAAAAACGCGAAATCGGTCAAAATTGCGCCACACTGTGCCAAAAGTAACTAAAAAAAATAATTGCGACGACGCTAGATTTAGCGGGAAACGAGCGCTTGGTTGGCAACATTCAATCTCGTCGGAGTAAAGTATACGGCACAGGTACAGGGTGGTGCAAGCAACAGCCGAACTCGAAGATTTTAGCTGTAGTACCCTTCTATGCCTACGATACGTGGTATTTTCCCGATTTTCGTGCTACTACTTTACGCTGTCATTCGCGACTACATGCTACGGTGCGCTGTCACGCGGTCTCGCTGTCTTGGCGTAGTTTTTCTACCAATTCACTATTTACCTTGCGACTCACTTTTGTGTGCAGTTTTTTTCTATCTGCACGCGCTTTCTACGAGTTTCCGATCGATGTCTGGTTGTAGCAAACCGTGTTTCCCTGTTCATGCTCTTGAATCACCGCTTTAAAAAGTTTTGCATTACAATTGCGCTTTGGCGCCAGTTCGTATAAGCTTGAAGTACCTGGCGCCCACCTAACTTTGCGGCAAGCCTGTGTTTCTTGTTGTCAACTATGCGCATTAAACTCACTTGTGCCTTTCCCGTTTTTTTTTTTTTTTTTTTAATATTTTGTCTCTGTGCATATTGGCGCTGATCACTTAATGGAACCAGGGTGGGAAAAAATTATTAAAAAGAAAAGTCAGATTTTTTATTATTTAACTGGCTGATAAGCTGCTCTAACATCTTCTGCTCCTAATCTGCTCCAAACTGTAGACTTTTCTGCTTCGAAGTTGCTCCAAAATGCATAAACTGCTGCTCCAAAACTAGAATTTTGTGCTCCTAAGCTGCTCCAAAATCCTATACTTCCTGCTCCAAAAATTGCTCCAAAACCTGTTTCACCTGTCTCACCCCTGCACAGTGATATCTTGATGACATCTCCTTTAACTGATCACAATATTACTGAGAGTAAGCAATCACGACTGTCGTATTATGGATCTCACAGATGCAAAATTGATGGTAATTTGGTATAAAAATTTTATACCTCCAAAAAAAAAACTCCAAGATGACATGATACGTCCTATTTTGGAATATATGAATCTGGTGTGGGAGTCCTACTAAGAAGATAGACAAAGACACATTAGAAAAGATTCAAAGGTTGGCTGTGCGTTTTATTCTTTCTAAGTATAGACAAACAGACTGTGACTAGAATGCTGAATCAGTGTGGCCTCCAGCCATTAGAAACTAGACAGAGGATAGCAAGGCTAAGACCGTTTTTTTACCCCATATACTAGGCAATTAAAAATTGACTCGTAGTTGTATCTGAAAGAAGGGCCGGCATAAGCGATCACGACACTTAAATCATGACATGGCGGTTCAACCATACTACGGTAGAATCAATGTTTTTAAGTATTCCTGTTTTGCACAAACAATTGAAGAATGGAACGGTCTTCCACAATGTGTTGTAAACTCAAAAGATATTTCTACTCTTGATTTGTTTTTAGAACAGTTGTTTTTCCCAATAAGTATAAGCCTGGAAGGATGTATATGCTAATATTATTGACAGTGTTACAATTTTCTGTGTCGTGTGTTATTATAGGACTGTGTATGTTTTTTGTATGAACTGTTCACCTCTCCTGTAATAGCCTTCAAATGAAGGCTTACAGTATTGTTAAATAAAAATGGCTAAAATTCTTTCCTCCCGCAAAACAATAATTTTTCCCGCTAGACAAAACCAAAAGCCGCTAAATATAGTGGGAAAACCACTATTGGCAACACTGGGTGTAACTGATACCGCACTGAAAAATCAAACTTGTCACGGACTGTGAGGACTATTCCATACAAGAACAGCGTTCCAGAATGAACCGGTCTTTCTGCAAGCAGTACAAATATTCAATGTATCGAGATATTTCAAAATTTTAATACTATATTTGTTTTCACCTCAAGGGCCGTAGTAAAAAAAGTCCCAATCCTCGCGTAGCATTACTGACTTCCCCCTTTATGTAAAGAATTTGACATAGGTAGGTAGATAAGTTTTAGGTTAGATATGTCACTTTATCAAGACTTCCACATTCCAAGTGCCAAAAGCATTGCTTTTTCCTCAGACAACCAAATCTCGTAAGAACTACTTTGCACCGCGTATGACCAGTGCACAGAATTTGCTTTTTAGGGGCGAAGCTCCTTTAGGGTCTAGCCTTGTCCATCCGGCGTCCGTGCTCACATCGATCTTGCTGGTGCTCGTGCTCGTGAGCTCAACTTGCTTGTGTAAAGCAAAAAAAAAAAAAAAAAAAAAAATTTTTTCTGCAGTTGACAGGATTTGAATCTGTGCGGAGATACCCCAGTGGATTTCTAGTCCATCACCTTAACCACTCGGCCACGACTGCGGGACAAGTAGGGGGCTCTGAGATGTTGTAGTAACTCAAGAGCTGGGGATGTCATGGATGAAACGTTGCATGTAGCCGCTCAACGTCTATACAGGAGACGGTCAAATGCGTATATAATTGCCTTAAACTTTGCATGCATTGGCTCAACGTTTATAGACGAGAGGGTGCTGCGGTCAAATGCTCAAATGTGTGTATAACCACGTTTCATACCACACATTCTCTTCCTGACATGGATGAAAACAAACGAAAGGCTCGGCATGCTGCGGCTCACCGTCTACGCAGACAAGCACCACTAGAGCTTCGCCCCAATCAACGTCATTCACCACGTGGAGATGCGGTTGTTTTTTTTCTTGAGGAAAAAATGGGTATAGACATTCGAAAGTCTAATCAAATTATTTGGGCAATCATTGTTCAATTCAAATTTGAATATTCACACTTCCCTTCTGTCCACATTCAAAGTATGCTGCCTTCTGCGGCACATTCAAATGAAATCGTTTACCCGCCCAAAGCCAGCTGTACTATGCAGCTCAGTGGCTATACTAGTATCCGACTGCCACCACACCGACCTGGTGTTCGAACTGTATATATAAATTTCATATATATAACGTTGATGTAGTGTTTAAACACTCTCAGTGTGTCACTTGTTCGTGACATTTGTTCATGGCGCCTGTTCACGACGCTCGTTCTAGACAATTTTCCCATGAGAGACGACTCGTAAAACGCATTCTCAATAAAACTATCTGCAGACAATCGAAGTGTAAATATGTGTGAAGCGAACATGCTTGAAGCATGCATGTACTCATCCGATGCTGGACTGAGTTTGTCATCTGCTTTTTCTGTTTTAGATCGTCATGTGTGCCTGGAAGAAGCCGGGCGACGTCGCCGTGCCGACCAGGCTGCCACTGGTCACGCGGGGGAACCTGTTCCGCCCCGGCCTTTCGTCGTCCGGTTCCCCTCCGTCTGTCATCCGAACCGGCTACAACGGTCTCGGCGGACACTCCAAGCACATTGTCGGGTCGAAGGCTCTTTCGACTCGTCCGTGAACGCTTCCTCCACACTCCCCACTGGAGCGCTCTTTTTATATGTTGACTTGGAATAATTCTGCAAGTTTCGTGTTCTTGACCCTTCTTTTTTTTTCTCTCGTGCTTCTACCTTTTATGTGGAAACAGTGTAACGACTATGGTGGTTTTGGGCCGGATAAATGGGGACGTTCAGCAATTTTCAAGAAAACATTTTTTTTTTGTTTTTTTTTTTCACGATTTGCAGATGTGCCCCCGTTTTGGACCAATTGCCTTTTCTTTGAAACAAGCAAGCAAGATTTTTTTTTTTTTTTGTCTTTTGTGTAGAAGTAGCATGAATGCCTTTAGATGCTTTTTCAGTTTGAGAACAATTGCAGGTTTTAGATTTTTTAGGTTTTAGACGCAAGTTTAGTTTCTTTAAATTTAAAGCTCTAGTTTTTTTATGTATATTATGCTTTTTTTTTTTTTTTTTACTTCCAGACTAGGGAACTTTCTACAGCTTGCAGATGCGTTCCTGCTTTGTGTCGACTTTTGATTAACTATGCCAGATTCACGTTACTGCCATTCAGTGTTTTATGTGACAAGCCAAATGTCTGCCAGTTTTATTTTTGTGTCTTGTACTACAACATGGAAGTAGCATGAATGTTTTCTAGGTCTCAGTGGTTTGGGGGCTGATGAGTGTTGAATAAAAACGAGGGAATTCGCGCATGAAGTTTTCAGAAAATATTTTTATATTTGTGTATGCCTGTGAACCCATTGTTTAGTTTTTTTTAAATTTTGGGCATCAGTTGTGTGTATTAATAGCAGTGCAGCTTGTCGACTATATTTTGGGCCAAATGGAAGTATGAGAATAAACTGACTGTATGCAACATCTTAAAAAAACAAAAAAACTACTTGTTTGCATTTTCTTGCAGAACCCATTCGTAACAATCACTCTTATACACGTCTTTTTTGCTTTGACACTTAAACTTAACAATTGCAAAAAGGAAAACTGAATTAATGGAAGAATAGTGAACTCTTATCTGCCAAGCATAAATAAATGTACTTTTAAACAATCGTGTTATTTAGTCGTATGGGGTATGGGCGTAATGGGTACGCAACTACGTTCTTCAGGTGTATGAAACCCCAGTGTAAGTGTAACAGGCAGATGTTTTTCTCTGCATTGCCAGCTAGTGCAAACAGCTAAGCAATTCAATCTTGCTTGATTTCTGGAATTCAACCTTAATCCATAGGGAGTATTCACTGGTGGCCATATCTGTATGCGTGCTGATGGAGAGTTTCCGCAGTTCTTTTGCAATGCACATTCCACTCCGTCAAGATCGCCGGTCTGAACAGCCTAATGTGAGCTCGTTCTGAGCATGTGCTCCAACCATCGCCCTCAAATATGGTGTCCAGTCAATACCCCCTATAGACTACTTCCATAAATCTGTCGCTGTGAGCGTTGCATTCTGGGAACCTATGTGCCAGGAGCGGAGCGCGCATGGATTTCGGTTTTGGTTCAACGCTGTGCGGTGTCCCGAATCGCCAGTTTACTTGAGTCGTGCACAACCGGGAGATTGTGTCACTGTGTCCTGATGCAGTATTACTTCAAGTGCTCAATAGCCGGCAGTGCTGGGTGTAAATGTCCCGGTGTATCGGGTTTTCAGTGCTCCAATACCCAATCGAAGAACACAATCGGTCCTGGAACTGATTAAGATCTTTGTTTCACTTGGGCGTATCTGCGTCGCATGCCAATAATCTGTACTTGGACCCTGTAGGGCAGGCTTTCTGACAAACTTAGGTTGGCACACTGCCGTAGTTTCCATCCCCCAAGCCCCTTGTGTGCGCACAGTCGTGATTGATACGATGGTGAACGCTCGATCACATTTCACTTTGCACCGCTAACCTTTTGACGAATGAAAACAGTAAGGGACGGACAAAACCACGTACAACGTAAGCTATGTTTGTACATCCTTTTCCGGTTTCCTCACTGCTAAGCTCTATTTCAACCTTTACGAGTTCTATTCGGCATTGCGAAGAGGAAAGTGATCCAAAGGTAAGGCTTACGTCGAGTCTATATCAAACATATTGCCGTGTATTACGTCCGTGTTCGACTCCAGGAGGGGAGAGCCGAGCGGCGGGCCATGGAGAAGCACGGGACACTTGCAAGCCACAGATTAATAAGCGCGGTCGGAGACCAGACACGACACTTCTCGTATCGCCAACCGATTGTAACCTAAACAGTTGAGTATACCCTTGCAATATTCCAAATTAACCAGTACATCACACATACGTCGGCAAAGAACTCGGGATTAATTTCAGCCACCTGCACAAACTGCGTCTGCTGGGATCCAAGCCTGGACGTAGACCAGTGTTCTGAAACGCGACCGACGTGGCTGGCATCTCGGCATGTTGCGTGGATAGCGGATTTCATATCCAGTTTGGTGCAGGCCGTGTGTCTTCAGTAGCCCGGAGTGGGCGGCTGATCGGTAACTAACGACCCCACCCCTAAAATACAAAAAGGAAAGCAGAAAATGGCAAAATCTTTTAGCCTTTCCACTTTGGTGAAGAAGGAAGACCAGTGAAGCTGTACTATGGTGGGAATGAAGTATATATAAATGTAAGGATTAATGAGTGCTGGTGTAATTGATTATTTGAACGATTAAAGAATCGGACATATATATAACGATCCGGGGGTATTTATTTCATAACCACGAGGACGTCTAAAACAACCTCAAGGACAGTGCCCAGAGGACGACCTCGGGAACGACGTCTTGGACGACCTCAAGGACGATGCCTAGAGAAATTCAGCCTTTCCTCCTTGGTGAAAACCAAAGTGGAAAGGTTGTCGCCATCCATGAACGACGACGGCAACCAGATAACCGGCAAGCAGGTTGTCTGGTTGCCGCCGTCGCTCGTAGATTGTGGTAGCTGTCTGGCGTTTTGTGTCGACCTTTGTCCACGGACACGATACTGGGGAAACTATACTTTGTTTCACCTTGTGTTGTACCGCAGGAATGGCTACAAGCGTGAGCTCCTTGTTCTAGGGCGCATCTCGGCGGCACAAGCTCTCGTGCACCAAGGGCAGCTGCCAAAGCTAGGAGCTCGCGCTTCTAGCCTTCGTTGCGGTACAACATAACGTGAAACTAGGGTGCCTTCATGTGCGCTTTGCTTAGGGTGGAAACATCTCGCCATTTTGTCTCACACTTTTATTTTTATTTTTTGTTCAGAAGCGCGTGAAAGAACGTGTCCCTGCACGCGCTCGTGGCGCTGACTGTACTACGGCGACATTTTGTTTTCATCGATTTCTTTGTATTTTACCCGTGCGCGCGTGCTGTCGGCATCGGGTGCTACAAAGGGTGCCATCACCCTAAACAGAAGGACATTGAGGCACCCTAGGTGAAACGTAGTATAGCCCTTAACAGCTCCGCCGTAAAAAAAAAAAGAAAAAAAAAAGAAAGCCGTTTACAATTCCCTGTAACGCCGAATTGGAACGCAGCTCTTGACGAGGAGGAGAGAAAGGTATGGAGAGGAGGCTATGCCCCTCCTCCTCTCCTGCTCACCTCCCATTTAAGGGAAAATTTTCCGCTATATTTAGTGGGAAAATGTTTCCGGTAGATTTAGCGGGAAAATTTTTTCGCTAAATTTAGTGGGAAAATTTTTCTGCTAAATTTAGCGGGAAAGTTTTTTCCGCTAAATTTGGCGGAAAAATTTATCCGCTAAATTTAGCGGAAAAATTTTCCGATAAATTGAGCGGGGAAATTTACCCATAATGCACCGCGCAGTTACGCCGACGCCGCTCAAGCCGGAAACGGGCGCCTAAGAGCTGCGCTCTAAAAATAAATGTCGTGCAACCAGTTTGTGATGTTTACCGTGCTACACAGTCGATCGTGAATCACAGAAGCATAAGTAGCGACCTATACTTCGTTTCAGCTTCGGTCCAGACGCAGCCAAAGCTACAAGCGTGAGCTCCGGGCTTTCAGCATCCCTGCCAAGCACGCGCGCTCGTGCAGTGCAAGCACTGTTCTGGGTCACATGCTCGCGCTTGTAGCATCGGCTGCGTCTGGACCGAAGCTGAAACGAAGTATAGAGAGCTCTCTCCCATGATCGAAACCGAAACTCCACCGGCCAACCGACTCCCACAATGCATAGCGTGGCATTTCGCCCATTTCGCCGATGAGCCGCGCCTGATGTGCGTCGGCCCATCAGCAACGACATCACGTGTCGCCGGCCAAATCAAATATGGCAGCTGCCGTTGCTTCGTGGATGTCGCTGTAGCGCTGTAGCGTTGCTTCGACGGAGCTCGAGCTGATTCTCTCGGCAGATTTTCGTGTTCTGCCGAGGGGTTCACGATGGTCGTCAACACGGACAACTCAATCTCAACGAAGCTAGGCGATTCCATACAGGTATGCTCGACTTGAATCCACCGCTCGTCGGTTACGCTTTTCAAAACGCTCGGTGCAGCGCTGAACGACATCCCTGTGCCCGTCATAGTTTTCTAAACAGGTTTCCTGACGTCTCGGTAAGTTTTTGAGTGCTTGTGTGCTGCTAAGGCCACTCTCTTTGTGTCTACCAGACTGTTTGAGATGTCAGTAGGTTGAGACTCTTGTGTGAGGCCCGCTAAACGACATCCGTGCCTTCGATTACAGTTTGGTGTCTCGTGCGATCCTCGTGCGTGCTTGGGCAGCCAATGCACGGCGTTGTCGCTCTGTCGTTCTCATTTTGTCACTGGCTAGAGTGTTGCGCATCACACTCGATCGTCGCACCGCAGGACTACGAAGTGTTCAACTTCCTGGGAAAGGGCGGTTTCGCTCAGGTCTACCGCGCTCGGTCCAAGAACTGCGGACTTGAAGTAGCCATCAAGATGGTGAGTCGCAGCTGGCGTGGCAGTACCCTCACTACTTCGTCATGTTTATTTAATGTGACAACCTTTATTCAATAAATAACAAATGAATAGAAAGATCCGTTCAAACTTAAACATGTGTACATGATTGGACCCTGCTCTTTTTGGGTTACCTGTGCCTCTTTCGTAACTAGCTCTTGATGAAGGAACTACTAGTTAAGGCACTGGCACGGGTAACTCGGAGTATAGTTACATTAATTATGTAAGAAAACCAAGCGTAATTATTGTGAGCTTTGAATCTGTGCCCCATTGGAAGTTCTGGAAATCCCGAATGACGCATTCAAAAGATCCTGTTGCGAGCTCTAAATCTATGAGTGCTACACATACGGCTTCATTGTCGTCGTACATAGCTTTTTTTACTTAATTCTGTGGTGTTGGCTGCTCTGCCATTGCCTTGTTTGTTTGTGCCTTCTAGTTATTGGTACACATTGTTTATGAGAGGGGTCTTTTGGGATCATAGAGTTCATGTAGTAATCTAGAGGCAAAGGTCTTATGCATTTCGACCGCCTTGGGACGACGGAGCATAGATGCATAACATTGGCAGTCCCAATGGGCCCATGTTGCTGGCGACGCTTTAATATACGCAAAGAAGCAGCAAAACACCACTTGTGAGGCCTATATATAGATTTTTTTCTAGATTTATTTTGCAGGAAAACACCGGCATCACGCATCATTTCCAAAGTTGACACGCACTCGAGCAACTTCATCTCGTCGCAGCAAGACGAATGTGCCTCATCTTCACGGACTTTTCTTTCTCTACTTCTCTGTTGCTCTCTTTCTCATTCTTTCTCTCAGAACCACCAATGTCAGCACTTACAGTTTGCAGCATTCTGCTCTGATCTTTACTTCCTGTTTGGGATCGAATGCTATATGACCATGGACTCGCATTCGAAGGTGCTGAGAGTTACCTAACACTGTCTGTTAAATTGTCAGCGTCGTGCTTTTTGAGATGCGCCGCTCTTTGCGACAGGTGGACAAATCGGCCCTGAAGCGCATGGGCGTGAGCAGCACCCGTGTGCAGCAAGAAGTCGCCATTCACTCGAGACTCAAGCACCCCTCCGTTGTCGAGGTATGGGGCTTTCCGTACCGCTGAAGGCTCATTTCGCAATCTCTGCTTGAAAAATTCTACTTGCGAGAATCTGTTAGTGACGTGGAGTGCTAAAGACAGCTTTTGGCGCCTTTTTTCATGAATAGCAGACGAACTTGCGCTCTGCATAGTCATCGGCAGGATGAGATTGGCAGAGCGTCTCTTTCGGGCGCTCGGCCTCCCGCAAGCGCTCGTTGACTTCCGCTGTGCTTTAACTGCACATGCATGCTCGAGGCTCCCAGAACGACAAAGCATAGGGAGCTCACGCTAGAGGCGGCACGTTACCGAAGGACCTCCCCGCTATTCTAATCCTGTCGGCGGCCATAAGACACTTAGCTTTTCGCATATTTTTCTCGGCCCTCTCTTGCGTTAATAGAAAAATGCAGTTGGCGTTTTCTCTGTGGTCGCGTTGCAACCTCTTTGCGTGCAGCTCTTCAACTACTTCGAGGACCGCGAGTATGTCTACCTGGTGATCGAGTACTGCGAGGGTGGCGAGCTCCAGGGCTACCTCCGGGCGAGGGGCGGCCCCCTCACCGAACCCGAGGCCAGCCGGCTCCTGGGGGAAATCGTCTCCGGCATCCTCTACCTCCACTCCCACTGCATCCTGCACCGAGACCTGAGCCTGTCCAACCTGCTGCTGACGCGGGACCTTCACGTGGTGAGCTCGCACGCTCCGAGAGGTTCCTCGGTGGCTCCGTGCGGTTTTTGCGGGCGTTTAGGACATGCCGGTACAATGTTCGATGCCGTACGACTCTTGGCGCTTTAACGTCGATAAGTTTTGACCTCGACGGAGAGAGGAAGATGTCCCACTAAGTTTAGTGGACGGTTTTCACGTAACGCCATCACCATGACAGTAGTCACGCAACATAGCGTGACACTGGCGTCGCACGACGACGCGCTTTCCCGATGGTCACGGGGCATCACATAATACCATGACATAACTTGACATTGTGCCACCAAGTGAGGCCCTTATGTCCCGTGACACATGACGTAGCAGGATTTATAAGCGCTATGCATTTAGAGTACCCCTGGGATGTAACACAGAGGCAGCTTTTATGGCAATAGTTGTGGCTCTTCTCACCATTGGAAATGACGTCCGTATTCGCTGTAGTAGTTGCTGATGTTGTAGTTGGCGCAATAGTCTAATGGGTCCGTCGCAATATTGTCGGCTTCTCAAAAAACAATCACCTGGACCTCTCTCGAATTGAACCTGGGTTTGTTGCTTGCGAAGCAGGCATTTTACCACAGAGCTATGCCACAGCATTGACGATCCGCTTTATCATACGTTTTTGTAGAATGAACGTGAGTTTTAGTCTCAACCAGTGCCCATCGGATGCTCACAGTTGCTGTGACGTCACAAAGGAAAATTCTTCCTAGCTCTTAAAGGGACCATGAAACCATTTTAGACATAATTTTACTGACTGCATATTGTTTACGGGATCAAAGGAAAACTAGCATGTGAGATTAGGAAGGTTAAATCCTAATTTTTGGCACGAAATTGTGGCAAATAATAACGGACTATATCTTACACTGTCTACCTTAAACGCTTGCAACAAAGCTGAGTGTATGAGTGGGTGGATTAATTAATGAGTTGTGGCGAAACTTTCTGTAATGGCGTTAGCTTGCGTCACCTAGCAAAGTAACCACAACATCCATAGTGTCGGAGCCTTTTTTCCCATTTTTTGGGGGACGTCAGTTGAATTTAGCTTCCGTATTGGATATGAGTAGTGTGTCACTGAAACTGTACTCTCAAACTATGAAATTGTCGATTAATACCGTCCATGGAATCGACAGAGTGTAATATTCAGTTGCATAAGCCACAGAGTCAACGAGAGCACAAGAGGTTTCTTCACAAGGAATTTCATTAGGAGTTTATATTACTTTGTTTACAGCGTTTTGTGTTTGCAGCCAAAATGTGGACTTACCATTCTGTACTGAGTAATCGCCACTCCTTTGCAGCAGGTTCTGGCACAGAACTTATACAGCCTTCTTCGGGGGAGTTCTCATCTTGCCGCTTGGGTTTGGTGGCTGACGGAAGAAGGCCCATACTTTCACTATACCGAAGCATTTTAAGCTGCACTTTACTCAGCTGCGACATATCCATAGCCATGTTGTTGATTGCACAAGTGTCGCAGACCAACGAGTTCTACGAAGCAATTGGTGTTCATAAAAACCCCAGTAGGTGACGTTCCGACATATTTGTGCCGAAACGTCGACGTAACGCGACGCTTGACTGATGCGGCTCCTTCACTCGGCCTAAAGAACTTCTGTTTCTTGTAGAAAGGCATACTTTATGTCACGGCCCCGCAATTTCACATGTTGATGGTCAGGTCGAGGAGGAAAGCAGACATGAGTTTTCATCTTTTTTTTGGTGCAAAACTGGAGGCAATAAGACGAAAACAGATTCCTGCTCTGGGTTCCATGAACATTAAAGATTAATTTGGTCTTCATTTGGAAAAATCTGAAAAATCCTTTCATGGTCCCTTTAACTAATTCCGAATTTAGTCGAAGTCAATTGTTGAAATTAAAAGCTTTGACTAGGTGGCGCAAGCCGCCGCCCAATGCGAAGCGCAACTTTGTCTGCTTCTTGCACAGGGGTTGCGAGGATGTCAGAATACCGAGCTCTTATTTGCTGATTGAACAAAATAAATAAGTGTGTAGACCTGAAGGCATCTAGCATTGAGGACTACCCACTATCCTTTCAATCGGAGCTCGGTGTCATTCGGACGTCACCACAACTCCAGCAAAGAAGCAGACGTTGCTCTCCACATTGTAAAAGTTTGGCGGTATCCATCTGTCCAATGCCACCTAGGAGAAGTGCCTACACATTACGCCATCGTTAGGGAATCCCCAAGCAGTCCCAAGCGGCAGGCGTGCCGAAGCTCGACAAGTGTACTGTGCAAAGCGGCAGACGTGGGAGTCTTGGCATCGCTGCCTGTTAGTGTTGCGCTTGTTGCGAGACGCCAAAAGACTCCGACGCGTTTTGCCATTCGTTGCAGTAAGGTGCATTCTCGTGATAACAAAGCCAACCGTGGATTAACACTGGACTGCTTGTTTGTTGTTTTTTTCATAGAATTGTTTGCCTTTCGTTTTTCTTTCTTCCCGCGAGTGCCGCGACTGTAGGGCATTGACTGACGTCGCCAATGACATTGCGGAGATTGAGCGTTTCACGGCTTTGGTTATCTTTCGTTTTGTTTATGTCGTTATGCCCAGAGTGCTGTTCATTTGATGAAGTTCCCGTGGCTGCGACACAGACGAACACAACTCGCATAATTGTAAATGTGCCTGTGATACCGGTACAGCTACGAAAGAAGTGCTTCTAAGGAAATCCTTAATTCGTTTTGTATTTGTGTGCAATATCTAGTCTAGGCTCGTTATAACAGACCTTGATTTTGACCAAGATTTCGGTCTGTTGTAAAAGGAGTGTGCTTTATGCAGATATGAAGTTGAGTCAATGGTACATAGAGGAAAACCAGCCAAACTTCACAGATCGGTATGTTATGTCCAAATGTCTGTTGTAACCAGGTCTGTTGTAATGAGCTTAGACTCTACTTCTGTCCATCCTTGTGGAGGCTGGTTTAAGGCAGATTTTACAGGCACATTTCGCGCTGCTGGCGCGTCTGTGGCACATTGTTTAGGCGAAGCGGATAGAAAACATGGGAGAGAAGCCACTAAGAGCTTGCCTAATAAGTGCCAATGATTAATGTTGTTTTGCGACGTGCAGAAAATTGCAGATTTTGGGCTGGCCACACAACTCAAGGGTCCCTGGGAACGTCACACCACGATGTGTGGCACGCCAAACTTCATGTCTCCGTAAGTTTTTCCCGAGGCTGCACCATGCTTTCTTAGAATGTCTCCGAGACTACTTAATACGTTATATTGCGCTACTAATACAAAGTACAATGTGAGGGGCTTATTTGTAAGCACTTTTGATTGACATATTTTCAGGACGATAGCTTCCACCTTGTGTACAGTGCGCACGGGCAATTTTTAGTTTAAAATGAGTTTTTGTTTTTTGTTGGATAGTTTGCACATATTGACTAGTATGCACAGAAAAAAATCATCGTACACAGGACACCTTGACAAGTGCCCACTTTACTGGCTTAAAACAAGCTTGTATGATATATAAATTATCATGATAATATTCTGTCTGTTTTGTCATAATGAACAAACTAGAAAAAACAAATTCCTGCATACTTGAAAGATGGCCCACCTCTATATTTTAGATAATTGTCTACTTTTCAAAAAACAGAAAGATAGCTCACTTTTAGTAATTGTAGTGCCCTGGTCAATGATGACCTCAACGGAGGAGGGGTTAGATAGCTGCGGCAGAAGATAAGCGAACGTTGCTGACTGAAGAGGACGGTTGTTTATGCTCCATTGCTCCTCAATCTGAAAACAAGTTTGGCAGTTCACAAATAAAAAAATAGCATTTTAAGAATTTTTTTTATTGCACACCGAAACTTAGTTTACTTCTCATTTTTACCTGATTTGCTCTCGCTTTTAAGTAGGGTATCCCAAGATATTACGGTGGTCGGCACCTGTATATAGTCCGCACGGCGTAACTCAACTCTTAAACAGGTACAGGGTGCAGCTGGACGGACTAACACATTTGGCACGCCTTGCACAATTTGAATTCCAAACGTACATACCTAACAATGTACAAGTGCACATGGTTTCGCAAGAAGATTGATGTCTATCTCTTTTTAGAGTTCAAGTCAGAGGCGGTTAAATATTAGAAATAGAGCAGAAACAGTGGCCACGCATTCCCTATGCCCTATACCGACGTTCGTCGTCTGCACACTGGTTTGCGAGCTTGCTCCCAGGTGGTCACTGTTCATACATTTTGTTGAAAGTATTAATTATTGCAATTACCTTGCTCATTGCCAGCCGCTGCCATTAGGTTTTTAGTGTTTTTGCATTCACCAAGCCACCTGGAAGCGAGCTCGTGAACCAATATGCAGACGACAAGCAAGCTGGTATAGGGCATAGGAAGTACACGGCCTCCGATTTTGCTTTATTTTTAATATTCACTACCTCCGTGTTGAGCTCCCAAAGAAATAGACATAAAATTTGTTACAAAACTATGTTTGCGTGCCCAGTTTCAGGTGTTTGGAATTTGAATTTTCCAAGGCGTGGGAAGGACAGCCGTCTTTGGTTCGTCGCCCCTCCCTGCGATCGCAAGTTTCGCAGGTCACAAAATCAAACACCGTCTTTTTTCCAACTTTTTTTGGTTTCACTCCGAAAGTAGCCCATTTCTAATTTTCATCCGATTTGCTTTTGATTTTTGTGCGCCATCTCTTGGGATGTTACGGTAGGTCCCCCGAATTTGACTTATTTTAGTCGTTTTTCCTGTCGCAGCGAGGTAGCCTCTCGGGACCCCCACGGACTGGAGGCGGATGTCTGGAGCCTCGGAGTGATGCTGCACACATTCCTGCTGGGGCGGCCTCCGGCACAGGGCTGCTCCTTCGAAGTGCCGGCCGGACTCTCGAGCCAGGCGAGGCTACTCCTGGTTCAGCTGTTGCAGAGGGATCCGAGGCAGAGGATACCCCTGCGCCGTAGGTGTCGCCGGTTTTGACCATGTTTTGCACCACACTAGATAGGGGGCGCAAGCTGCCACCCGATTTCAAAGTGTTTGGCCGCACGCATCCGTTTGTCTTAGAACTTCCTTTAGTGTACTACACCAATTGAATAGACTTTTTTCTAAATTAGCTGAGGACGAAGAACCATGCTGCGAGTGTAGTTACATGTGCTGATGTCTGCAGTGCACGGCCTTTCAGCTTTCTTGTAGGCAAAATCTAAAATAAAAGTCACTCTGCTCGTGCACTTGTCGATGCTCGATTTTAGTAATTTTCCTCGGATCTTATATAAGGTGAGCGTGGGCAGCACGTGTCCCCATGTTCCCAGATTTTGACAAAATGTCTATTCCTCCTGAGTGTAGTAATTGACTTCCTTTTGGATAAATAGAAAAAAAAAATGGTGGTTTTATTTTGAAAAGTTTTTTGTATCAAGGACTTTTCTCAGCAAATTGTCTTCAGGAGCTCGCCGATTTTTATACCGGAAGGTTGAAATAGTTTCGAGATACGATTCAACTTTTGTTCCTGATTTAGGCGAAAGTATGGAATGAAAATGAAGTCTTGCCTTAAAGGGGCCCTGCAACAACTTTTTGACTGGTTTTTAATTTGCACCGAACCTGAGCGCACTGAACGTAGTGAGTTAATGAAAGTTTTCTTTTCTCGAATTTTGCTTTATTTTAAAAGTTATAGGCAAACTAAAATTACAAAAACAAGCAAAAAATAACCTCCTTCATGACGTCGTTGGTCATGGCTTGAGCGGCCGTAAACTAGAGAAAGGGTAGTAAGCTCAGCAAGCGCTCACGGCTGCCGCACTCTGTGTCGACGGCTCGAGAGGGTGCCACTAAAGCACGTGTTGGATAGGCTGTATGAAGCGGGTAACCAGGGCGGCTCGCATTGCATTTGCTGCACGATTAAAGACTAATTTGGCACGACACTTTATTGGCTGCAAACGACAGCAAAGACGGGGTAAAGATCAGTTCAGAACGGGAGCCACTTACAGCTGCCATACTGCTAAACGGCCAAATCGCAAGCCAAACCTGAAGGCCTTCGGAACCGGTCAGATCCTCAAGCTTGTGTACGACTGCTGACGTCTGCAGCGCCGCCGCATACATCCGGGACCTTTTTACACTCGCCGCTCGTCAGTGCCTGATCCCACTACCCCCTTTTAGTATGCGCCCCCTTTTCCACCGCTTGGTGGCGGGTATGTCGACAGGTCATTTCTTGTTTCCCTACTTTATAAGCTGCTTTTGTTTCTTTTCTGATCTAAAATGCTGAACAAAAACTACTTTCATAAATAAATGAAATGGTTTGCGCCACTTATATTTTGTATTTCGACTAAAAAAAAAAGCTTTTAGCGGCTCTGACTAGTAGTAAGGCCAGGACCAAAGACTTCACATTCGTGCGCTTTCGGCACCGCGGGTCGCCCCTGTAGGTGGAGGAGGTTTCCGTGTCGTCCGATTAAAACATGACGCACTGATATTTAGTTACTCTCTCCGTGCCCGCTGGCTTGCCCGAACCCCAAGAGACGTCAAAACCGCAAAAAAGTTAGACGCTTAAATATGATTGCAGGGCCCCTTTAAGGTACCCGTGCTCCATTCCATTCCAAAAGCAACTCTGTCTCGTGTCTAAATTTGGTAAAGCTCCATGCTTCGCTGAATTTGCTGAATAGCCCTCATGCCTGCCGACCTGTCAAAAATGTAATTGAGGAAAACTATGATAACAAGACACTTCAGGAGATGTGCTGTGAGCTCATTGCATTACTATGCATGTTCGGATAGCATCTTTGACACTTGGAGCAGTAGCGAAACGGCACATGTGACATGCACTTTTGTTAAAGGGCTACTCCGGCAATCTCTGGAGCTCTCCCAAATAAATATATGTATATTCTAAGTCCCCGGCCTTTACTCTTTCTGGCATGCTATTTAGTATCACAAAATTCGGAATAGGTATTGTGAAATTGCCAATGTAAAGCGATGCCGAAACCAGCACTCAAATATGGCCGCACTTTCAGTGCCGTGGCATCACTAATGGGCCGGCTTGCAGGTGGAGTAGGCACTCTAGAGAACAGAATGCTTCACATTTGTTTCATGCTGCTGTTTGGGTGCAGGAGCAAGCTTCCAAAGCATTTTTTTGACACCATCAAACACCTTGTAATCAGCAAGGAAGAAACTCGACTGCCCAAAAAGTATAAACTCGTGCCTGCCACTGGCATTGCTTTTTCACTGTTGCTAATAGAGACTTTCAGCTTGAAAAAAACAAAAAACGGGGAAGAGCTAAACTTGTAAATTTAATTACTTTATGAAAAGAAATTATTTTTGCCTAATATTTTGGCTCTTAGTTCAACAATGTTTGTTGGTCCGTTTGGCTGATTTGGAGGCGTGCTCCTTTCTTTTGTGTTCATCCTTGGTGCGCCCTCTTTTCGCCGTTTTAAGACAGGCTCTCGTCGGCGTTTTACTCAGGCATTCCCGAACAGGCCTTCATGTGCCAGGCGGGATGCCCTCTGAGGCCCCTGCCTTCGAGCCTCGGACCTCCCAAGGCTCCCCTCAACACCACGGGCTTGCGACCAGCTAGCCTCTGGGCACGCAACATGCGGGTGAGTGCGATGGGACCGCCCGTTACCGCGACGAATGCCGTTACACTCCGTTCGACCCTAAAGCCGCGGCCACACTCCTAAGACACTGTACGAAATGCAATTTAGACCTGTGTAGCTTCAGCCGCTTAATAACCTTGCAAGAGTGCAGTCTACGGCACTCTGAGCTAACCCCACGAGACCCCAGTTGAACTGGTAAAAGTTCCACTCGGGGCGCCATAGGCACGATAATTTGTCGGGAGCGAGATTGCAACGGACCACCGTGCATTCGTGCACGGATGGCGCTCGTAGAATCAGTGAGGCGTGCATTCACGGCAAACTTTGTGCACTGATCTGCTCGTCGGGCCGGTGGTTTGTGCTGATGCTACATCTCGGAAAGCCGCACGCACGTCGTTCTAAAGGAGATTCTCAAACTTTCCAACCACAAAGAACCTTTATACGCTGGAATGTTAGCTGAAGAGCCCGTCCCTGTCGCGACATTGATCAGTGAAGCGGTGCAGAAGCCTGCAGACCTTGTATATAGCAATGCACATACTAGGGAGTGTTTTAGCTTGTATGCATTCATGGTCGGTGACTCGGGTCTGTTGAAATAAGGCTTAAGAGAGGTTCACACACTTGTTCACACATTTGCGTCTGCTTACGCCGTTCCTTGACCTTGGCGGCAGGGGCAAAACACAAAGATAAATATGTGCATACAATAAAACTTGCCGTCTGCACTCTTTGTCTGAACGGAGGGCACAGGTCACCTACTTCCAGCCTTGCGTTTTGGTCCCTGGCAAGCAGATCCCTAGCCTCTTCGTTGTAGATCTCCAGGTAAGAGGCCCTCACGAGGAACCTTAAGGCAGCACAGGTCGAAAGGGTACAAATTATGCGAGGCTGCATGGAAACCCCCGAGTTTTCTCTGATAACTTTGCAACTTCAACGAGAAATACTCGATTTAAATTTGGTTACAGATTTGACCAGCCGTCAGTATAGGAGGCTTTGCAACTCTAGGGGTAACTCGCAATAACAAACTGTTTCAAAGGAACAAAACTGCCAGTCTTACTTTTTGTCGTCGCCAGCCTTGGCGATATGGCCAAAAATGTGAGCGAATGTGTTTGGAATGATGCCCTTCAGCTCCGGCACAGACCGATCTCCGGCCATGGTGTACGTCTTGCCGGTGCCAGTTTGCCCATAGGCGAATATGGTACCTGGATGTACACAAAAGAATGCGCTTAAGATGGCTGATGATTGGTGTGAGGTTGGATCCATAGAGCCACATTATATAAGTGTTAGGCAGATGCTAACATCCTGTTGCAAATGTCATCTGGGTTGGAGCCGTAAAGCCTATGGACACATTGTCTATTACCGGTTCTCAAACTTTTGGCCGTGTCACAGACCTCTCGACCCACTCGGAAGTCGTTCGAGGACCTCCAATGCATTCTGCACGAAAGGTATTGTGCAGTGGCATATATAGGAGGGCTTTTTTTTTTTTTAGAGCATTTTTTCTAAGATTTAGTGGAGACCCCTCCGATTGCTTCTGAGGACCCCTAGGGGTCTGAAGACCGCAGTTTGAGGATTTTTCTTTGACCGATGTGACCCTTTGACATTTCTATAACCTTGGCCATGCACACTGCAGCCGTAGTAGACGTATAATGACCAACACAAAACAAAACTTCACCATTGTATCCTTCGAGAACGTTTTCAACAATTGGTCTTGCAGCCTGGTTGTAGACGTCCATCTGCTTCGAGTCGGCGTCAAAGACCGTGTCAAAGGTGAACATCTTTGGAGGAGCATCGCCGTGAGACCCGGGGGGGTTGGCCACCAGGAGCGTGCCCTGGACGCTGTCAACCTTGGAAGAATGAACGGAGAGGTACAAGACTGAGGCCTGGCTGAACTTATGCGACACGTCTGATCCGTGCACGGCGGAACTTACGGTGACAATGTTCTGGCAGCCGGCAGCCTTTTCTTTCTCACTCAGCGGACGACACCGAACCACGACGCGGATGTTCTCGGTGTCGGAGGACATCGCTGGACTAGTGGCAAAAGAAAATATTTGTTGCATTCGTCCTGGAGATAGGTTGGGCGACATTAACTACCTATAGTCTGTCATCGGCTGCCTAAAGATACACCCGTATGTTGCAAGATTTGTTTTATGCTTTATTTCTGGAGGAAGTGATATCTTTTGCAACACCACTATAAGCTGAGTGCGGTGGAAGCTATACATGCTTGTTGGGCCACGTGCTTGTTGGGCCCATGCTTGTTGGGCATGCTTGTTGGGATATGTGTCTTTTACCACGCGATAATGCTCCTGCCCATATACTCACGGGCAGAGGGTGGAATCATGTGATGGAGGCGTTTGATTGTTCAGAGGAGTGAGTCTCCCACAGCACTGTCAGCCTAGGGGTGAATGGGGTATACCTGTGGCAATCAATCCAGTATTTTTTCTTACTTGTTGCAGCTTCCTGGCTAAATTAATATGTCAAGTTTTCGAGCAATCTGCAGTCTGAAAAATATGCACGCAACAAGCTGAAAAAAAAAAAAAATGCTTTGTTTACATGAATTAGATGCAACCACACAAGCATGGACTGATGTACAAATAACAGTGTTAACTGACTTGGTGTTAACCAACGTTGGTGTTAACTATGTATACGAGACTAATCGACTGCCCTACAAGACGCGCGCTTGTTGCCTTCCACTGGGCTTTGGCTGCGTGCAACAAAGTGTTATCAAAAGCAGAAAGCTCAGCCGCTGAGCTGCTTAGACGCTGACTGTTGTGTTAGCATGTTGACAAGAGCAAGACCATTCCTTCTCGAGCCCAGACAAAGAGTCCTCTTTACTTTGGCAAGCGATAACACGCGTAACCTGGCTTGCTGAAAACCTCCCCCTTTTGGTTAGTTGGTGGATAGTATTACAAGTTTAATCTATACATTGGCTTCACTGTCCATCCACTTCTAGTGACGGTCAGACCTTGTAGCTCTGGTAGAGGCTGTACCCTGTCACTGGTAGCTAGAAGAGGCTGGAATCTGTTGCGCCTTACCCCATGGTCCATTTTGACCTGGTAGGAGTGAGGAGGACCTGCTTGATACGACCATTCTGTTTGTCCTCTCGTCAATTATACAGATGCATTGCCCACTTTGCAGACGTTTCAACAGACGTGCTACGTGTCTTGTGTCGAAGTTACATTTCTGTTTCTCCTCATTTTCTTCCTCCCACTTCCGTAGCTTCTGAGGCTCAGGAGTAACAGGCTTTGACAAAGAAGGAGCAATTGGGACAGATATGCAAATTCTTTGGCCCACTAGGAGTTCAGCAAAGCTAAATCCGTTTGCAAGGAACGTAGCACGGTATTATTGTAATGCACGGTAAGCATCAACAGTCTTCTTCCAGTTCCTCTTGACAATCTTTACTCCGGCTTCCACAAAACCGCTGCTCTGTGGAAACATTGGGCTGCAAGTTTTGTGTAAAAAGCCTCATTCTTTGAAGAACTTGAAGAACTCGGATCCAAGTAATTTTTGAAACTGTGGTTCTTTGTCGCTGTATATGGTCTCTGGCGTCACATCTCTTGCGAAGATAAATTTCATGTGGTCGACGACAGAAACAGCTGACAAGCTGGCCAAGAGGGCAACTTCGGGGTATCAGGAGTAATATCCCGTCACTAGCAAACCACTTGTATTTCAAGTAGAAAGGGTCTACGCTTGCTTGCTGCCAAGGCCGTTCAGGAAACAGAGTTGGTATCAAAGGCCCTTGGCGGTTGATTGTTTCCTGAATGCACTGTGTACACCCTTTTACCAGTTCTTCTATCTGCTTAGATAAGTCTGGCCACTCCACAGATTCATGGGCGCGTGCTCTGCAATTAAAAGATGCCTTGGCGATTCTGGTGAATGCTGTTCAAGACTTTGTCTCTCATTGCCTTAGAGCCGCCTCGGTGGCTCCGAGGCGAGAGCGCCGGCCTACGGATCTCCAGGTGGCGGGTTCGAGTCCCGACCGAGGTGCCCGCAATATGACGGAGGCTTATTGCGGAGAAGGCGCCGTGTAACCGAGCTTTCGGTTGCACGTCAAAAGATCCCCAGGTGGTCGAAACTAATCCTCAGTCCTCCGCTGGGGCGTGCTAGATGCCCGTCGTAGGTTTGGCACGTAAAACCCCCAAATTTGACTTTCTCATTGCCTTAGGGAATGATTATCCTCGACCCTCTCATTAGAAGGCCGTCTTCCACTGCAATGTCACTTCTGTGCTGCCAATAGGCACTGCACTCCTAGTTAAACGTTTTCTTGACTGGCCAACCCTCTGTACTGAAGTGCGTTAGAAACTGACATGTTGCGTCAATTTTCTGGTTAGCTTGCATTTCTTTCAACTTTTCGTCCGTTGCTGGAAGATTTGCCATGAGACCTCGCACATATGCTGATATCTCGTCCTCCACCTCCTTGTCCGGTGTATGTTCCAGGGGATTTCTGGAAAGGAAGTCAGCCGCCACTCTTTTCCGAGAACGTGTGTGATGTCATAAGAAAACCTTATCATCCGGAGTTTCATTTGCTGTAGTCTTGGCGTGATGTCTTCCAAGCTCCTGGACGAAAATATACGAACCAGCGGTTTGTGGTCCATCTCGGTCTGGATTTTCGTCCCTGTTTATAAAAGTCTCAAAACTTTTCGCACCTGCAGACCACCCAGTCCTTCCTTTTCGATCTGGACGTATCGTCTTTCTGTTTCGCTCTGTGTTCTCGACGCGTACGACACTGGTCTGTAGATCCCGTTCTTTTGCTTTAAATGCAATACTGTGCCAATGCCAAAAGAAGAAGCGTCTGTTGACAACATGGTTGATTTTCTTGTGTCAAACAGAACAAGTAGCGGGTCTGATGTCAAAATCAACTTTAGCTTTTCAAAAGCCCTCCGTTGTTTGTGGTTCCAGGCCCATTAATTTTTGGCAGTAATGCGATCACCAAGTGCAACTCTTGGGCCAAACTGCGAAAAAATTTCCTAAGGTAGTTAACCATTCCAAGAAAGCTGTTCAGCTTTGTGATACGTACAAGTGGGAGCTTTCATCTTCAAAATGGCTTCTACCTTCTCTTGATCTGGACGAACTCCTTCTTGATCGATGGCATGTCCAAGAAGCTTTATTATGAGTTTCTGCGAACCGACATTTAGCTTCGTTCAGGGTAATTCCTGCCAGCCTGAGTCGAGAGAGGACGTCTTGCAGGTTTCTGTCGTGTTCTGCTCTCGTGGATCCGTAGACAAGGATGTCGTCCATGTTGCAGACTTGTCCTTTGATTCCGCTCAGAAGCTGGCTCATCTTCCTCTAGAAGAACTCTGGAGCAGATGTAATACTGAAGGGAAGCCAGCTAATTTTAAAGCATCCAAATGGTGTGATGAAAGCCTCAGAATCTGGGGCTGTTGAGCAAGCTCAAACTGCCAGAACCCAGAATTTGCATCGATTCTTGAGAACTTCGCATTCCCAAGTTGTTTCAGTACGTGCTGGTCTGTGACCGGAAGCGGATGTGTCGTTCCACATACTTGTTCAGCTCCGTGGAGTCAACGCAAATTCTGCAGCTTCCCTTCGACTTTGTCATGACTGTACCATATTGCTGATCACCAGTCTGTGGGCTCGTCCACAATTTCGATTACGCCCAGGGTGAACATACTGTCTATTCCTTGATCTTTTCCATTAAGGAAATTGGGATCCTTCATGGAGTGCTCAGACAATGCCCAGGGAACTGCATCCTTACGTAACTTAATCTTGTAAGGTAATTGTTTCACGCAGCCAAGGCCTTGAAAAAGTTTTGGAAACCCGCCCTTTGGATCGACTGTCCCGGGTTTCGTGTCGACTACCGCGCTCATGCAGTCTCTGTACAAGTCCCGCAACTCCACGGAGGGGGGGTATGGCGAATATTTGCTCTCACTACATGCGTTCAACTTTGTTCGGCTGAGCCCCTTTACTACTCTTTTGGCCTCAACCAGAGGCAATGCACTGAGGTACTTTTTGTAGATTCTGGAATCGCAGTGATGTCTGCCCCATGTCTATCTTGAAAGATACTGGAGTTGTCTGGACTGTCAGTACAATCCTCCATGCGTGTTCCTCAGCTGATTCTATGACTCCAAGAAAGACGGGCTCACAGACGGGCTCTTCGGCTTTGAGGACGATCGCTGAGCGGCAGTGTAGGTACTACATACGATCGTCGGCACGTTTTCGTATTTTACTTCAAAAGGCATCACATTTTACCGCTTTAGCTTAGTGTCCCAAATATGCACTTTCCACTCTGACGGTTTTTATGACAGCCCGACAGCACGAACGATCGACAGCAAACTGTCGATCGTTTGTTCGCGCTAACGGTGTCGCGCAGTGTAGTACCACAGCTGCCCAATGATCACAAAATCAGGTTTTAAGAATGCGCACTCTGCAGTATTAGTCGAATCACTTACCTCGTCACGCGCGCGGGGTTGCAAAATATACACACTCACAGTGCTCACACAGTGGCCTGTTCTTTGCGGTGCCTTTTCCTCTGATGCAGCGTCGTTTCATCGATCAAACGAAAACAGAACTGCGTTTTGGATTTTGATTTGTACTTCACATGTGACTTCTTAAATTAATTTATTCATTACCTAGTCGCCTCAGTTAAAAAAATAACTGTGATAAATATCTCTAAAAATGTTTAACTTACGTTGACAATAAATGTTTTATGTTCGAAAACGTATTTAGCGTTTGTCTAAACTTAGCGGGCTCGCCGCTTGGGTCAGCAACATTGAACAAAGGCGGCGTTTTTTTCAAAAAGCCAGCAGGCAGCGCGGCAGCGCTGGGCGGAAGGAAGGCACTAAGGTTAAGGACAGTTGCTGCAGTGGCACATGCGCTGACATACGCCCAGTAGGTTATTTAGAACCTGTCCGAAAAGTGTAGCTTCGTTTCAACTTGCGCTAGCCTCCACAACCATGCGTGTTACATGCAGCATCTGCATGGACTGTTTCGACCGCACCAGCACCGACAACGTGAACAGCACGGCCTGCGGCCACGTTTTTCACGAACTCTGCCTCCTGCAATGGCACGAGATGTCCAAGACCTGCCCTACGTGCCGCAAGCCTCTCCAACAGCGGCAGATCTTCAAGCTCTTCTTTTCCGCTTCCGAGTCCAGGGACGAGGACGTGAGCAGTCTCCAGAACCAACTGGACGATGCCAAAGCCAAGCTGCGGGCCGCCGGCGTGGAGAAAATCAAGCAGCAGGAAGCCGCTGACGCTTTGAAGGCGTTCCTCATTCAGCGCGAAGACGAAGTCCAGGAGATTAAGGAAAAGTACATGACGGCGATTGGGGACCGAAACTTGCTGGAGAGCAAACTGCGGTCCATGAAGAAAGAGGTCGCCGAAAAGAGGCAGTTGTCGGACGAGAACATCGTGCTGAGGGCCCGGCTCGAGGAGTGCGAGAAGTGAGTTCTTTCACAGTAATTGTTTATGTAACCTTTAAGAACCCCGGGCCAGAGTTGGAGAAACGCTACCGGGACATACTGGGCGCAGTGTCTTGCGGGATTGAAGGTGGAGGCAACCGGAGGCCTGCACGGGTCAATGAACCCGAGCCAGCCCGACCCGCTGTCTCTTGGGCCCGGGCAGCCCGGGCTTCTCTTTTTGCTCACTATGGATAGCTCACAAACTGCGCGGCATGGCAGGCTGGCTTGCCTCTGTCACACGTGTTGACTACGGTACCAAATAGTTTGGGTTCCGTGCTTTCAGATAAATCCTAAAAAAAACTCCGAAGAACACCCGCCGTATCAGTGCCTTATCGCGGCGTGAAACAACAAGTCAGCGAGGCTAGGTGTGTGCCTTCTGCCACACGCGCATAGTCCGGCTCGGTGTTGATGTCGCTGGCCTGTAATAAGGCGGAGCCTCCTGAGGGGGCGGTTCACCGAATGATACTTTAGCGAATAATTGGGCGCCGCAAAGCGGCGTTTACGTGTGGGCCAATACACACACACATGTGGGTTTACATTTTTTGTAATGAGCCGCCTCAGACTGTCGCCGCGAAGCGGCGTAAAGCGCAGCGCGACGGATGGGTTAACGCGCGCCCCCGTTGTTGCCCCGGAGGCTCCGCCTTATTACAGGCCAGCGACATCAATACCGTCCGGCTCCCCTGTTTCACTCCGCGATAAGGCGCTGATCTACGGCCTGTCAGCGCTCGCGTGATATTGTTAAAAAAATATAAAGCCTGTAACAATGAAAAAAAAAAAGACAGTAGTTTACAAGCCGAAAATTATGCTTTGAAAGGAATATTAAAAGGTGCACCAAAGACGTTTCTGAGATTGTCTGTTCTTGGTGATAACTTATCTTACGGGCTCCAAGCGTCCTAGAAATCCTAAAATTGTGCTTGTGCTACATCTGTTTCCCTACTAAAAATGTGATAAAAGTTGACATCCTTGGAGGATGCCAACTACTGACTGTAGATTTGGCTGGATAGCGCAGGCCACCGCCTGATTTTAATCAAAAAGTTCAGCCTTACCCATTCATCCATCCAGTGTGCACAAGGATTTCGCTCTTCCGCAAGTGGGTTCTTGAGCAGTGTTTAAAGCTCTTGAGGAAGCAGACCTGATTTTATAAATTTATAAACGAATGCTCCTTAAATCAGCGCAATGTCACCAGTATGTAAACTGTGTCGGTAGAATGTGCAGTAACTGAACCTGTATAGACCGTCCCCTTTTTTTACCTCTTTTTATTTTCCTTTCAGTGTTGCCGGAGTACCCCTTAGTGACGGATGCTTCTGGATGAACGAGAGCTGCCGTATGGTTAACATACTTACCTCGATCGGTTTTTTTTCAGGGAACTGCAGTCGACAAAGGACTCGCGATCCAATATGGCGAACGAGGTGACATGTCTGATAAAGGAGGCGGGCCACTGGACTGCCCGGGCAAAGCGACAGGCGGTGCAGCTCAAGGCGCTGGAGGCCGAAGTGGGGGAAACAAAGAAGTTGCTTCAGGATGCTGAGAAGCGGATACGGATCCTGAAGGAAAAGAGGCACCACGATCACATGCTGCTCGATCATTCCCTGCAAGAAAGGTACATCTCCCCTAACACCTCTCAAACTCAGCGTTCTTGTGTGCATCCATTCGGTAGACACTAGGCTGCGATGGGGACAGGGAACACAGCAGACGGACTTTTCTGTTTGGAAGGAGACAGTGGTGTGGCGCTTTTCAGTGGGCGGGTCTTCTACAAAGAGTTTGAAATAAGGACCTAACGCTAGTTGCCGATTTTTTTTTTTCCAGTGCCAAATATATTTGACCCTTACACAGAAACCATGTGTAATGCTCTATATCTTTTTAGCAACATGGGGTTGTGTTTTTTAATGTGCCACATTTCTAAAAATAAAAACGGTGCGATGTATATTTGTGGCATGATTTTGAAAGTGTGTTTGGCTCGGGGACCAGACGCATTTGTCCTAATGGTAGGCGGGTGGCAGGCTACGCATTGTCTGAAACAATTTTGGGAAACTGACTTTTATGGTTGCCTTCTATTAACCCTTTTAGTGCCGCTTTTTTTTTCTTGCATTGCATTGCATGCATCTTGCATTTCTTTATGTAGACGTGGTCTCCTTTATGACAGCAGCTCGCAAACACCAGTCTTTCGTCCGTAAATGCGAGAAAAGCAATTTTTAAATGAACAAAGCGACTCCCCACTACCACCTGGCAGGTAGTTGGGGGGCTGAGCTTCGTTGGAATGCCTCGTGCCACGGGCTCTTCGGGAGCAGTGTCACGGCGTGTCGTGTCCGATGGAGGCGCGCGGGAACGAGTGGCACTCGGCACACCTCTCAGTTCGAGTACGCTGTACCTCAGGTGTTCCCACTTGGCGGGATTGTAACGCATTGACGATGAAGCCGGTGCCACCTAGTGACAACGATCATAATTACCCTTTGCCGACTCATCGCGCCGCCTCGAGGCCGATCTTTAAGCGCTCTCCAGAATCGGTCGGTTGGAACGTAAAATATAGCCGTCTGCAGACTTGGTTCCTCGGTATGTTTGAGCGTAAAGCGAGAACAGTACCACGCTTCAAATAAAAATTTTTTTTTGCAGCCCTGCACCCGAACGGCTGAAGCGACCGCGCCTGACGGATCCCGAAACTACGCTGTCTCCCGAGGTTCCGTCCCCAAGCGTCAAGGTATGTAAATGCTCTCTAGCACCATCGGCATCGCTATGACCGGCCTTTCACGATTGGCCAAATGCTCGTCTTGAGTAGGACTATTTCTGCTCTCGATTACAGAAATGAGAACAAAGTCGGGCTCTCGTCTGACGGTCAGTGTTGCCAACTCGGGGATTGAAAACCCGCAGTCGGGACACCGAAAACCGTTAAAAACCACTAAATTGAAGACATTGTGCGAAAATTACTTTTGAACACATTTTATTGCTTTAATTCTTGCCCAGCAGTATAATTACGGTATATATATATATGTATATATATATTAAAAATTTAAAAGGCTTTCTTTTTCTTTCTGACTAGAAATCTGTCTTGCCACGCCCCTTTGTTCACAGAAAGATGTCTGCTTCATCGGCATCTTGATGTTTTTTGCTGGTGCCAATGGTTCCTGGTGTGTCGCCGCCGGGTTTGCCGAGGTTAACCTCCATGGTGCTGATCTTTCTTAGAAGATCCGATGGGAATTCGTAGCTAGAACGGCGTTTGTTCTCCCTTCGGAGGCCAGCCCTCATTGTCAAAATGCAATTGGTCATCTCTGTAGACATCCTGTTCCTCTGCTTGGACTTGACTATGTTCATCTGGCTGAACACATTCTCAACCTCTGCATTCAACCTAGGCAGTAAGTGTTGCTAAATCAAAATCAGCAAGATCAAGGAAGGGGTTTGCTTTGGAGGCATCCTTGTATTTCTTGACCTCCTCCCAAAAGGCAACAGTTGTTTCACGGTTGTTCCAGCGAACATGACTGAGTTTGTTCCATAGTTTGTCCCTCATTGTCATAATGAAATTGGTATTCTCTGTAGACATCCTGTTCCTCTGCTTGGACTTGACTATGTTCATCTGGCTGAACACGTCCTCAACCTCTGCATTCGACCTGGGCAGTAAAAGTGTTGCTAAAGCAAAATCAGCAAGATAGATCAAGGAAGGGGTTGGTGTTGGAGGCATCCCTGTACTTCTTGACCTTGTCCTAGAAGGCAACAGTTGTTTCACGGTTGTTCCAGCGAGCAAGACTGAGTTTGTCCCATTTTTATTTAATTGCTGCAATTTTTTGTTCTTTTTGTGCGCAACAAGGAGGACAGTCACCTTGTTGAGCAGGACTGTACTATCTTAAGCGAATCTTGTCCGTTGTTCAGGGTGCGATAGATGTCTTTTGATTCATCTAGAACCAAGCTGTAACTTCCAGATCCTAGGTCGGAAAGGCACTCGTCAACGAATTAAGGAGAGAGAACGTTCCTGATCAACGCACTGCACTTCGATCGGTGAAGCTGGAGATGCTTAGCCCCTTCGCTGACCCAAAACTGATTATGCCATAGTTCACCCAAATGATCCGAAGCCAAAATTGCGGAATGGGCGTACTTCATTGGGCCTATTTTATCTTGCAGCTGTGACAAAAGCTTCAAATGCACATTGACACATTCAAGCTATTCAAAGTTGTGTGCAAAAGAACCGAGTTGTGTTCCAATATTTGACACAGTGCAGGGGTGTGACATCTGCGTCATTTGTGCTATTTTGATACAAACCCAATTGTGCCTTTCCCGTTTTTTTTTTTTTTTTTATATATATTTTGTCTTGGTACGTATTGGCGCTGATAACTTAATGGAACCAGGGTGGGAAAAAATGATTAAAAAGAAAAGTCAGATTTGTTAATATTTAACTGGCTGATAAGCTGCTCTAACATCTTCTGCTCCTAATCTGCTCCAAACTGTAGACGTTTTTTGCTTCAAAGTCGCTCCAAAATGCATAAACTGCTGCTCCAAAACGAGAATTTTGTGCTCCTAAGCTGCTCCAAAATCCTATATTTCCTGCTCCAAAAATTGCTCCAAAACCTGTTTCACCTGTCTCACCCCTGCACAGTGATATCTTGATGACGTCTCCTTTAACTGATCACAATATTACTGAGAGTAAGCAATCACGACTGTCGTATTATGAATCTCACAGATGCAAAATTGATGGTAATTTGGTATAAAAATTTTATACCTCCGAAAAAAAAACTCAAAGATGACATGATACGTCCTATTTTGGAATATATGAATCTGGTGTGGGAGTCCTACTAAGAAGATAGACAAGGACACATTAGAAAAGATTCAAAGGTTGGCTGTGCGGTTTATTCTTTCTAAGTATAGATGAGCAGACTGACTAGAATGCTGAATCAGTGTGGCCTCCAGCCATTAGAAACTAGACAGAGGATAGCAAGGCTAAGACCGTTTTTTTCCCCATATACTAGGCAATTAAAAATTGACTCGTAGTTGTATCTGAAAGAAGGGCGGGCATAAGCGATCACGACACTTAAATCATGACATGGCGGTTCAACCATACTACGGTAGAATCAATGTTTTTAAGTATTCCTGTTTTGCACAAACAATTGAAGAATGGAACGGTCTTCCACAATGTGTTGTAAACTCAAAAGATATTTCTACTCTTGATTTGTTTTTAGAACAGTTGTTTTTCCCAATAAGTATAAGCCTGGAAGGATGTATATGCTAATATTATTGACAGTGTTACAATTTTCTGTGTCGTGTGTTATTATAGGACTGTGTATGTTTTTTGTATGGACTGTTCACCTCTCCTGTAATAGCCTTCAAATGAAGGCTTACAGTATTGTTAAATAAAAATGGCTAAAATTCTTTCCTCCCGCAAAACAATAATTTTTCCCGCTAGACAAAACCAAAAGCCGCTAAATATAGTGGGAAAACCACTATTGGCAACACTGGGTGTAACTGATACCGCACTGAAAAATCAAACTTGTCACGGACTGTGAGGACTATTCCATACAAGAACAGCGTTCCAGAATGAACCGGTCTTTCTGCAGTACAAATATTCAATGTATCGAGATATTTCAAAATTTTAATACTATATTTGTTTTCACCTCAAGGGCCGTAGTAAAAAAAAGTCCCAATCCTCTCGTAGCATTACTGACTTCCCCCTTTATGTAAAGAATTTGACATGGGTAGGTAGATAAGTTTTAGGTTAGATATGTCACTTTATCAAGACTTCCACATTCCAAGTGCCAAAAGCATTGCTTTTTCCTCAGACAACCAAATCTCGTAAGAACTACTTTGCACCCCGTATGATCAGTGCACAGAATTTGCTTTTTAGGGGCGAAGCTCCTTTAGGGTCTAGCCTTGTCCATCCGGCGTCCGTGCTCACATCGATCTTGCTGGTGCTCGTGCTCGTGAGCTCAACTTGCTTGTGTAAAGCAAAAAAAAATTTTTCTGCAGTTGACAGGATTTGAATCTGTGCGGGGATACCCCAGTGGATTTCTAGTCCATCACCTTCTAGGCCACGACTGCGGGACAAGTAGGGGGCTCTGAGATGTTGTAGTAACTCAAGAGCTGGGGATGTCATGGATGAAACGTTGCATGTAGCCGCTCAACGTCTATACAGGAGAGGGCGCTGCGGTCAAATGCGTATATAATTGCCTTAAACTTTGTATGCATTGGCTCAACGTTTATAGACGAGAGGGTGCTGCGGTCAAATTTTAAATGCGTGTATAACCACGTTTCATACCACACATTGTCTTTCTGACATGGATGAAAACAAACGAAAGACTCGGGAAATATATCACTCTGAGTGATATATTTCAAGTTTTAATGCCACATACGTTAATAAATATGTCCCAGTTGAAAACATAAAATCGACTGCAGCAGAACTTAATGTATAAAAGGGATAAAAGAAACAGTGAATCTTTTACGGCTTTTTGTTTCCTGTCGATTCTTATTTTTACCAACATGCTCCTACACAAATTTCAAACCCTATGTTGTTGGTTTTGACCTTTGTAAGTTGCAGTCTTTTTGCCTTGTGTAATCATCAACACTGAAAAAAGTTTTTTACGGCAGCTTTTTTGCATAGGCACAGCACCATTTGAAAATAATTGCAATAATTTATTTCCAATTTTCGGCAAGCAATTTTCTTTCTCAATATTTTGCCACCAAGGGAAGAGAGGCACAACAGCGCATGCGCGTCAGTTCTCCTGCAAGAACAGCTGTTGCTTCCCGCAATGCTTGGATAGAAAATGGTTCGCGATTCACACGTTCACCAACGACCTTTGCTCTTTCCCGTGCCCCGTTGTTCAGCAGCGCTATGAGTTGCGCAGTGAATTTTGCGAGTGTGAAATGCAGGACATTTAGAAGATTTGATATTTCTTGCGGGATGCGGGACATGGGCACTCAATGCGGTACAGTCCCACGAGTCGCAGGACGGGTGGTCACCCTAAACTGCGCCAAAGCACTTGCCCCGCTGCGTCCTGCTACCTTTTGCCAGAACATGGAGAATTTGCACCAACATGGCACCAAAACTTATTTTCGGTTTATTAACAGTGAAAATAGAATAAGTCAGGTAAGTCAGGCCTCGTTACGTGGCCAATTTGTTCGGGTAGGCTAGTGCGAGTTTCCGAGACTTTTAATTATCGCCTTAAATAGCATCATATTTAATTTGATCTCTGTATCTCACATTGGCAGTACTTGAAAGTTTCAAAATACTCCTTGTGCTCGTTGTCTGTTCTGACTGAATAGCTAGGATCGTTAGTGCACTTGTAACCGCGTGCTGCAGTGAATCGACATCCGTGTGGTAGGTGTCACAATTTGTGTATCTTGCTTCGCCGCAGTGCACCTGTGTGCTAAGGGGAAAGCACTTCCCCAAAGCGCGACGTTACACACGGTTTCTGAAAAAGACTCCAGCTAGTATTCGCAACTCCAGCGAATTACAGGGGGCGTGCTGGTCAGGCAAAATGGCGAACGAAAGGAGGTCGTTTTCATCATTCAGCGCACGGGCCACCATAAATTTCTTGTACTGTACCATAAGATAGGCGTTACATATGAAAGCAAAGTGACTTTTCAATGGTAATTAAAAACCTTCTTCTAATCAGTATGTAGGAATGACATGGCGGAAGCATAAAAATAATTACTGGAAACAATGTTTTGTTTCTATGTTGCCTACGATAATTAAGCACCGATAGCAGACGACAGAGTTGAAATGACCTTTTTCCTTGAGCTTCTTGGTGTTGCCGCTACTCGGCGTCGATTTTGCTGGAGTTGCCAATACAGAGTGTTTTTTTTAGTCTGTACGAAATTACCTAAAAAAAAAGAGTTGCTTTGGTGCATTTCTAATTTTGCTATTAGCTTACCCTACTTTCCGGCCACTCTAAACAAGGTTGCTTGTGCCATTAGGCTACTAATTAACATAGATATTTAAGTTAATTTCTTAATTAGTGACTTTAGATGACGTGCTACATCGCATGTTCCAATTGCACAATGATAAAAACAGAAAAATTAACTGTTCCCTTTCGTATCGTTGCCGATAGTATACATCTTTGTACATTTTTCTGGTGTGTGAGATTTCCTCTTTTTGACAGAAATTATGTAAAGTGCCTCTTGCCAAAGCTGTATAGGGAACAGAGTCCTCGTGAGGCATTACGCCTTCAGTCTCTGCCACCCCCCCCGGTGAACGGGAAACAAAGAAATGAAACGAAATGACAGTCCGACATTGCCCGTCCAACGCAGATGGACCACTTTGTGTGCATCAACACGCTGATGACGGAGGAGGACGGCCAGCGCGAGCTGCGCACCTTCTTCGAGCGCTTCTCCCCGCACATCACTGACATGACGGTTCAGCAGCTTGGTGACTTCTTCGCCTCCTACACCCTGCACCGGTCCCAGAGGGCCTTGGGCAGTGGCGGTTTTGCGGAGGCGGCCAGCGCCGCTGCCAGGGACCCGCTGTCCCTCTCCCGGCTCGTCGAGCCCAACTTGTTCCTCGGATCGGACTGCCTGGTCAAGATCAAGCGGGAACCCCACGACCTCCGCAGCGACGCGCTCCTGCACGCCGGCGAAGACGCGGGTCCCTGGCCCAGCGATGGACGCCGTGAGTGGCTTTGGGTCTCTTAATGGCTACCTTTGTGTGGCAACCCTCGTGACGTTTTTGCAGCGAAACTTTGTTCTGTCTAGGTTGTTGTATGTGTTCCAGAGGGAAGAGAACAGTGTTTTTTGGCTTGGGGTAAATGGACTGTGTGTCGCAAAGAGCTCAAACTCCGCGAGAGTGTGATGCTAGCAGTTGTCATATAGGACGCGAAAGTTTGAGAACAGGACGCCACCTGGATCGAAAGGTAACTGGGAAAGACGTCGTCGCTCCACAAGTCGACATCTACCCAAGCTCTATGTCGTTAAAACAAGAACTGTCATCGGGGACACATGTGGGATTTATACAAGTGAAAAAGTGAAAGCTGCTTACAACTCCCTGTAACGCCGAATTAGAGTGCAGCTCTTGAGGAGGAGGAGGGAAGGGCACTGGGGGTGGGTTAAACTAACCAGGGGGGGTCACGTGACCTTGGGGTCACGTGACCCCCAATGCCGACGTTGTCATCACTGACGTCACTGATGACGTCATCAGTGACGATGACGATGCGGGTACCGATGACGTCATTAGTGACGTCACTGATGACTTCACCAGTGATGATGACGATGACGATGCGAATGTCGGTGACGTCATCAGTGACGACGCTGATGACGTCATAAGTGATGATTACGATGACGATGCGGATGTCGGTAACGTCATCAGTGATGATGACGATGCGGATGCCGGTGACGTCATCAGTGATGATGACGATGACGATGCGGATGCCGGTGACGTCATCAGTGACGATGACAATGTGGATGCCGGTGACGACATCAGTGACGTCACTGATGACGTCATCAGTGACGATGGCGATGCGGATGTCGGTAACGTCATCAGTGATGATGACGATGACGATGCGGATGCCGGTGACGTCATCAGTGATGATGACGATGACGATGTGGATGCCGGTGACGTCATCAGTGATGATGACGATGACGATGTGGATGCCGGTGACGTCATCAGTGATGATGACGTCATCAGTGATGATGACGTCATCAGTGATGATGACGATGACAATGTGGATGCCGGTCATTGGGGGGTCACGCGACATCGGCGGGGGTCACGTGACTTCGGGGGGGGGGTCACGTGCCCCCCACGAGGTCACGTGACCCCGGTGGGGGGCTCGCGCGGTGCATTATGGGACATTTCCCATGATGCACCGGGGTCACGTGACCTCGGGGGGGTCACGTGCCCCCCACGAGGTCACGTGACCCCGGTGGGGGGCTCGCGCGGTGCATTATGGGACATTTCCGATGATGCACCGCGCGGTTACGCCGACCCCGACGCCGCTCAAGCCGGAAACGGGCCCCTAAGAGCTGCGCTCTAAAACAGTTGTTAGCAAGAAAGAGAATATTGTTTTCTTTCTTTCTGACAAGCTTTTTTCACCTTAATACCATAATATCGCGAGAGATGTCCACCCCCCGAAAGATAACCCGACCCTATTTTTGGCACGATTTGCTACTTTTTCAGAAACACGGAAAGATAGCCGACTTCTAGTAATTGGAGGGCTGGGGTCACCTAATGGTGACCTCAGCAGAAATGGTGTTACTTAGCTGCGGCAGGAGATAAGCAAATATTGCTGACTGGGAAGGACAGTCACCTTTGGTTCATCGCCCCTCCCAGCAATCTCAAGTTTTGAGTCACCAAATCTAAAACTAGCATTTTTTCAGCTTGTTTTTATGGCACATTGAAACTTAGCACACTTCCTATTTTCACCCCATTTTCTTTGGAATTTAGGTGAGCTATATCTCAAGATATTACGGTAAATGCTACAGGTGCCCACAATGTCATTTCTTGTTTTGGCGATATTAGGCTTAGGTGGATGTCGGTTCATAAAGGCATTTTGTCTTTCTCAATTACCTTTCGTTTCAGGGAACGTCATGTTCTCAAAGTTTCATATTCTCTATCCTAACTGCTAGCGTCACATTCTCACGGAGTTTAAGCTTTCTGCAATGCACAGTTTATTTACCCGGGCCTAAAAACACTGTCCCTTTTCCCCGGGAACACCCTGTATGCATTGGCTCAGGTGTGATGCCCGGAGCAAGTTAGAGCCACTCAGTAAGCTACGCTTCAAAGTAGCGGCACTGCAGCCGTCCTGGTGCTTAGAACCCCATTGTTAATTGCCAGTCATACTAAGAGAATTGTTAAAACTGTCCGTGACGAAGTCCTGAACTTCCCGACACAAATGGAACGATTGCCAATTGTGCCTGCTTTGCTCCAAGCACCAAAATGGCGGTGCCCACAAAAAGATTGGGGAAGTGAAGTGCCGATACAACGAGCGCAGCTCATTCGGTGACTCCAGACCGACGTGTTTACACACACTGGCTCAAACCACCTGATGTGTTTGTGTTTGTCTCGCAAGTAGCATCGAATGTGCCAAAGCACGAGAAACGTGTCTCGGGCAGCTATTGGAAGCAAATGGCGGCACAGCGCTGAAATGAGCGGCGCTTGGGAGCGAATAGTGGCAAAGCACTGCGCGCGAAGCGTGAACTTTCTCACGGGGCTTTAACACTAGCTCCATCTATTAGGTATGTAGCCCTGGAGCACTTTCATATAATTAGACTGAAGGTTTCGCAGTATTGTCTATGTAAAATCTACACACTATCCACGCGAAATGATTGCTTATAACATTGTCTGAATTATTCCGAGCCCGTGGCGAAAACGTGATGCTTAAAAAAGGAATGCAGACGGAAGTGTTCCAGGGCATGGCAGCATTGTGCTGCCTCACTAGTCACAAGTGGTAGCAACGCAGTCGATCGGGGCTGGTTCTTGCTATTTGCGTCGGGTGCGTCCACGGCAACCAAAACGACGGCAACGACCGAGACACTTGCATATAACCCTCGCTTGCCATCTTGTGTTTGGCAAACAGCTGACCCAATGAACTTGTTGTTGCTGTTGTTTCGGTCGTTCCGAACGCAACCAATGCAGCTGCCTCAATTAGGCTTCAGGTATTGAGACCTTTTGAAACGAAACATGGATGACAAGCTACATTATGCAATGCTTTTCGTCTCCACTTTTTTATTCTTTAGGAACATCATACCAACCGGAGGAATATGGTTCCGAAGATACGCTGTGATCCAAGAGCGATCGTCGGGTTGTGTACAGATGTGCTTTCGAACGGACAGAGAAACGCTGCCGGGGACATCGTCACCTCGGAACAGGTTCCCCCGCGTGACCAGGCTGCCACTGGTCACGCGGGGGAACCTGTTCCGCCCCGGCCTTTCGTCGTCCGGTTCCCCTCCGTCCGTCATCCGAACCGGCTACAACGGTCTCGGCGGACACTCCAAGCACGTTGTCGGGTCGAAGGCTCTTTCGACTCGTCCGTGAACGCTTCAACTATGGTGGTTTTGGGCCGGATAAATGGGGACGTTCAGCAATTTTCAAGAAAACATGTTTTTTTTTGTTTTTTTTTTTCACGATTTGCAGATGTGCCCCCGTTTTGGACCAATTGCCTTTTCTTTTAAACAAGCAAGCAAGATTTTTTTTTTTTTTGTCTTTTGTGTAGAAGTAGCATGAATGCCTTTAGATGCTTTTTCAGTTTGAGAACAATTGCAGGTTTTAGATTTTAGTGTTCATTCAGTGTTTTATGTGACAAGCCAAATGTCTGCCAGTTTTATTTTTGTGTCTTGTACTATAGCATGGAAGTAGCATGAATGTTTTCTAGGTCTCAGTGGTTTGGGGGCTGATGAGTGTTGAATAAAAACGAGGGAATTCGCGCATGAAGTTTTCAGAAAATATTTTTATATTTGTGTATGCCTGTGAACCCATTGTTTAGTTTTTTTTAAATTTTGGGCATCAGTTGTGTGTATTAATAGCAGTGCAGCTTGTCGACTATATTTTGGGCCAAATGGAAGTATGAGAATAAACTGACTGTATGCAACATCTTAAAAAAACAAAAAAACTACTTGTTTGCATTTTCTTGCAGAACCCATTCGTAACAATCACTCTTATACACGTCTTTTTTGCTTTGACACTTAAACTTAACAATTGCAAAAAGGAAAACTGAATTAATGGAAGAATAGTGAACTCTTATCTGCCAAGCATAAAAAAATGTACTTTTAAACAATCGTGTTATTTAGTCGTATGGGGTATGGGCGTAATGGGTACGCAACTACGTTCTTCAGGTGTATGAAACCCCAGTGTAAGTGAAACAGGCAGATGTTTTTCTCTGCATTGCCAGCTAGTGCAAACAGCTAAGCAATTCAATCTTGCTTGATTTCTGGAATTCAACCTTAATCCATAGGGAGTATTCACTGGTGGCCATATCTGTATGCGTGCTGATGGAGAGTTTCCGCAGTTCTTTTGCAATGCACATTCCACTCCGTCAAGATCGTTGGTCTGAACAGCCTAATGTGAGCTCGTTCTGAGCATGTGCTCCAACCATCGCCCTCAAATATGGTGTCCAGTCAATACCCCCTATAGACTACTTCCATAAATCTGTCGCTGTGAGCGTTGCATTCTGGGAACCTATGTGCCAGGAGCGGAGCGCGCATGGATTTCGGTTTTGGTTCAACGCTGTGCGGTGTCCCGAATCGCCAGTTTACTTGAGTCGTGCACAACCGGGAGATTGTGTCACTGTGTCCTGATGCAGTATTACTTCAAGTGCTCAATAGCCGGCAGTGCTGGGTGTAAATGTCCCGGTGTATCGGGTTTTCAGTGCTCCCATACCCAATCGAAGAACACAATCGGTCCTGGAACTGATTAAGGTCTTTGTTTCACTTGGGGGTATCTGCATCGCATGCCAATAATCTGTACTTGGACCCTGTAGGGCAGGCTTTCTGACAAACTTAGGTTGGCACACTGCCGTAGTTTCCATCCCCCAAGCCCCTTGTGTGCGCACAGTCGTGATTGATACGATGGTGAAAGCTCAATCACATTTCACTTTGCACCGCTAACCTTTTGACGAATGAAAACAGTAAGGGACGGACAAAAACACGTACAACGTAAGCTATGTTTGTACATCCTTTTCCGGTTTCCTCACTGCTAAGCTCTATTTCAACCTTTACGAGTTCTATTCGGCATTGCGAAGAGGAAAGTGATCCAAAGGTAAGGCTTACGTCGAGTCTATATCAAACATATTGCCGTGTATTACGTCCGTGTTCGACTCCAGGAGGGGAGAGCCGAGCGGCGGGCCATGGAGAAGCACGGGACACTTGCAAGCCACAGATTAATAAGCGCGGTCGGAGACCAGACACGACACTTCTCGTATCGCCAACCGATTGTAACCTAAACAGTTGAGTATACCCTTGCAATATTCCAAATTAACCAGTACATCACACATACGTCGGCAAAGAACTCGGGATTAATTTCAGCCACCTGCACAAACTGCGTCTGCTGGGATCCAAGCCTGGACGTAGACCAGTGTTCTGAAACGCGACCGACGTGGCTGGCATCTCGGCATGTTGCGTGGATAGCGGATTTCATATCCAGTTTGGTGCAGGCCGTGTGTCTTCAGTAGCCCGGAGTGGGCGGCTGATCGGTAACTAACGACCCCACCCCTAAAATACAAAAAGGAAAGCAGAAAATGGCAAAATCTTTTAGCCTTTCCACTTTGGTGAAGAAGGAAGACCAGTGAAGCTGTACTATGGTGGGAATGAAGTATATATAAATGTAAGGATTAATGAGTGCTGGTGTAATTGATTATTTGAACGATTAAAGAATCGGACATATATATAACGATCCGGGGGTATTTATTTCATAACCACGAGGACGTCTAAAACGACCTCAAGGACAGCGCCCAGAGGACGACCTCGGGAACGACGTCTTGGACGACCTCAAGGACGATGCCTAGAGAAATTCAGCCTTTCCTCCTTGGTGAAAACCAAAGTGGAAAGGTTGTTGCCATCCATGAACGACGACGGCAACCAGATAACCGGCAAGCAGGTTGTCTGGTTGCCGCCGTCGCTCGTAGATTGTGGTAGCTGTCTGGCGTTTTGTGTCGACCTTTGTCCACGGACACGATACTGGGGAAACTATACTTTGTTTCACCTTGTGTTGTACCGCAGGAATGGCTACAAGCGTGAGCCACGTGAGCTCCTTGTTCTAGGGCGCATCTCGGCGGCACAAGCTCTCGTGCACCAAGGGCAGCTGCCAAAGCTAGGAGCTCGCGCTTCTAGCCTTCGCTGCGGTACAACATAACATGAAACTAGGGTGCCTTCATGTGCGCTTTGCTTAGGGTGGAAACATCTCGCCATTTTGTCTCACACTTTTATTTTTATTTTTTGTTCAGAAGCGCGTGAAAGAACGTGTCCCTGCACGCGCTCGTGGCGCTGACTGTACTACGGCGACATTTTGTTTTTGTCGATTTCTTTGTTATTTTACCCGTGCGCGCGTGCTGTCGGCATCGGGTGCTACAAAGGGTGCCATCACCCTAAACAGAAGGACATTGAGGCACCCTAGGTGAAACGTAGTATAGCCCTTAACAGCTCCGCCGTAAAAAAAAAAGAAAAAAAAAAAGAAAGCCGTTTACAACTCCCTGTAACGCCGAATAGGCCATATGCAAAATCCTTGCCAGCTATCATCATCATGCTATTAGGAGCCGCCATATTGGGGGGTTTATCACATCTTCCAGTTGTGGAAGAGGCGCATCTGCATTAAACTCGGTTTTCATGGTATTAGGGCAGCTCATTTGTACACTCAACGGGCTGCTGGTTAGTTTCGGTTTTCATGGTATTAGGGCAGCTCATTTGTACACTCAACGGGCTGCTGGTTAGTTTCGGTTCAAAGAAGAAAAGAACGACGGCCGCAAAATTCTGGAAAAGGAATCGTCAGCGACGAGGTCGCAAGACTCGTCACTCAAGCAGTGAACTGGGCCATTCCAGGTCAATGAACGGTATTTCTCGAAGACGTCCTGTGAAGGGTTCGTACTGGACTTGCAGCAGGTGATCATATTTTAGTACTACGACTTCCACTTTGCCGCGACTATTGCTTCTCGGGCGAAACCATCGGTACGGGAACACCCCAATATGGAGGAAATATGATAACTGATCATGATTACACTAGATGGCGCTTCTTTTCGCATATGGTCTATTGGAACTAGGGGTGTCGCGAACTTTTGTCGAACCAGATTTTTCGGTCGAACTTCCGGGGTTCGACTGAGTCGAACCGGTTCGACTTTATGGACAGTGTGGCCAGACCTTAATACAAGCATGTCTAGGTTTGAAGAATTTTTTTTTTTTATGCAAGGGGTTATTTTATATTGTGAACAGCTGCAATTAGAAGAAACTAATTCTAATCACTGAAGAAGTTAATAACTGAATTTTTAGTACTGTATTGACTGAAATAGCCAATCAGCGCTGCACTTAATTCATCTCTTAGCCATTACCATCCAATCCGAAGCCAAGTGGCCAGCCTGTCGCGCATGCGCACACGAGTCGAACCTCAATAGAAGGTTCGTCGAACTTTCCACTAAAAGTTCGAAAAAGTCGAACCTGGTCGAACTCGAACCGCGACCGGTTCGCGACACCCCTAATTGGAACGCAGCTCTTGACGAGGAGGAGAGAAAGGTATGGAGAGGAGGCTATGCCCCTCCTCCTCTCCTGCTCCGGGCCAAGATTTGGTCTACGGGCCGGCGTCGTCTAAGAGAGCAGACGACAAGCAGAAACGTTTGAAAGAGCAGACGACAATTTGAACGATCAGGTAGCCGTTTGAACTTGAAGACGCACTGGACGTAGTCGGCAGGTGGTCCGTACAACTTGAGGGTTTTCTGGCGTTCATGTTGGAACAAAACAAATAAATCTGATGACCACAAGTATCCGTGAATTCAACCCAAAGTGCTTCCCGCCCAAGCAATCGTGGTCCGACGGCGTCTGCTTTTCCCTTTTCACGGCACATATCCATATTCTCGGACGAACCGAGCACGTGAAAACTGACCTTCAAACCTTTCTCGAGACTTTTGGTACGGCCCCAGTCGCGGCGTTTTGACGAGAAGGCAGGTTTTTGTCTCGTTCCTTTCAAAACAACGCAGGAATACACGTCTGGCATGGGGACTTCTGCCCACAGCTCCAGACCGGAAGTGCGACCGACGCGCCACCACCGCGCCGTGACTTAACAGAGATGAGTTCGTGTATACTTCGTTTCAGCTTCGGTCCAGACGCAGCCAAAGCTACAAGCGCGAGCTCCGGGCTTTCAGCATCCCTGCCAAGCACGCGCGCTCGTGCAGTGCCAGCACTGTTCTGGGCCACATGCTCGCGCTTGTAGCATCGGCTGCGTCTGGACCGAAGCTGAAAGCTCTCTCCCATGATCGAAACCGAAACTCCACCGGCCAACCGACTCCCACAATGCATAGCGTGGCATTTCGCCGATGAGCCGCGCCTGATGTGCGTCGGCCCATCAGCAACGACATCACGTGTCGCCGGCCAAATCAAATATGGCAGCTGCCGTTGCTTCGTGGATGTCGCTGTAGCGCCAGTAGCGCTGTAGCGTTGCTTCGACGGAGCTCGAACTGATTCTCTCGGCAGATTTTCGTGTTCTGCCGAGGGGTTCACGATGGTCGTCAACACGGACAACTCAATCTCAACGAAGCTAGGCGATTCCATACAGGTATGCTCGACTTGAATCCACCGCTCGTCGGTTACGCTTTTCAAAACGCTCGGTGCAGCGCTGAACGACATCCCTGTGCCCGTCATAGTTTTCTAAACAGGTTTCCTGACGTCTCGGTAAGTTTTTGAGTGCTTGTGTGCTGCTAAGGCCACTCTCTTCGTGTCTAACAGACTGTTTGAGATGTCAGTAGGTTGAGACTCTTGTGTGAGGCCCGCTGAACGACATCCGTGCCTTCGATTACAGTTCGATGTCTCGTGCGATCCTCGTGCGTGCTTGGGCAGCCAATGCACGGCGTTGTCGCTCTGTCGTTCTCATTTTGTCACTGGCTAGAGTGTTGCGCATCACACTCGATCGTCGCACCGCAGGACTACGAAGTGTTCAACTTCCTGGGAAAGGGCGGTTTCGCTCAGGTCTACCGCGCTCGGTCCAAGAACTGCGGACTTGAAGTAGCCATCAAGATGGTGAGTCGCAGCTGGCGTGGCAGTACCCTCACTACTTCGTCATGTTTATTTAATGTGACAACCTTTATTCAATAAATAACAAATGAATAGAAAGATCCGTTCAAACTTAAACATGTGTACATGATTGGACCCTGCTCTTTTTGGGTTACCTGTGCCTCTTTCGTAACTAGCTCTTGATGAAGGAACTACTAGTTAAGGCACTGGCACGGGTAACTCGGAGTATAGTTACATTAATTATGTAAGAAAACCAAGCGTAATTATTGTGAGCTTTGAATCTGTGCCCCATTGGAAGTTCTGGAAATCCCGAATGACGCATTCAAAAGATCCTGTTGCGAGCTCTAAATCTATGAGTGCTACACATACGGCTTCATTGTCGTCGTACATAGCTTTTTTCACTTAATTCTGTGGTGTTGGCTGCTCTGCCATTGCCTTGTTTGTTTGTGCCTTCTAGTTATTGGTACACATTGTTTATGAGAGGGGTCTTTTGGGATCATAGAGTTCATGTAGTAATCTAGAGGCAAAGGTCTTATGCATTTCGACCGCCTTGGGACGACGGAGCATAGATGCATAACATTGGCAGTCCCAATGGGCCCATGTTGCTGGCGACGCTTTAATATACGCAAAGAAGCAGCAAAACACCACTTGTGAGGCCTATATATAGATTTTTTTCTAGATTTATTTTGCAGGAAAACACCGGCATCACGCATCATTTCCAAAGTTGACACGCACTCGAGCAACTTCAACTCGTCGCAGCAAGACGAATGTGCCTCATCTTCACGGACTTTTCTTTCTCTACTTCTCTGTTGCTCTCTTTCTCATTCTTTCTCTCAGAACCACCAATGTCAGCACTTACAGTTTGCAGCATTCTGCTCTGATCTTTACTTCCTGTTTGGGATCGAATGCTATATGACCATGGACTCGCATTCGAAGGTGCTGAGAGTTACCTAACACTGTCTGTTAAATTGTCAGCGTCGTGCTTTTTGAGATGCGCCGCTCTTTGCGACAGGTGGACAAATCGGCCCTGAAGCGCATGGGCGTGAGCAGCACCCGTGTGCAGCAAGAAGTCGCCATTCACTCGAGACTCAAGCACCCCTCCGTTGTCGAGGTATGGGGCTTTCCGTACCGCTGAAGGCTCATTTCGCAATCTCTGCTTGAAAAATTCTACTTGCGAGAATCTGTTAGTGACGTGGAGTGCTAAAGACAGCTTTTGGCGCCTTTTTTCATGAATAGCAGACGAACTTGCGCTCTGCATAGTCATCGGCAGGATGAGATTGGCAGAGCGTCTCTTTCGGGCGCTCGGCCTCCCGCAAGCGCTCGTTGACTTCCGCTGTGCTTTAACTGCACATGCATGCTCGAGGCTCCCAGAACGACAAAGCATAGGGAGCTCACGCTAGAGGCGGCACGTTACCGAAGGACCTCCCCGCTATTCTAATCCTGTCGGCGGCCATAAGACACTTAGCTTTTCGCATATTTTTCTCGGCCCTCTCTTGCGTTAATAGAAAAATGCAGTTGGCGTTTTCTCTGTGGTCGCGTTGCAACCTCTTTGCGTGCAGCTCTTCAACTACTTCGAGGACCGCGAGTATGTCTACCTGGTGATCGAGTACTGCGAGGGTGGCGAGCTCCAGGGCTACCTCCGGGCGAGGGGCGGCCCCCTCACCGAACCCGAGGCCAGCCGGCTCCTGGGGGAAATCGTCTCCGGCATCCTCTACCTCCACTCCCACTGCATCCTGCACCGAGACCTGAGCCTGTCCAACCTGCTGCTGACGCGGGACCTTCACGTGGTGAGCTCGCACGCTCCGAGAGGTTCCTCGGTGGCTCCGTGCGGTTTTTGCGGGCGTTTAGGACATGCCGGTACAATGTTCGATGCCGTACGACTCTTGGCGCTTTAACGTCGATAAGTTTTGACCTCGACGGAGAGAGGAAGATGTCCCACTAAGTTTAGTGGACGGTTTTCACGTAACGCCATCACCATGACAGTAGTCACGCAACATAGCGTGACACTGGCGTCGCACGACGACGCGCTTTCCCGATGGTCACGGGGCATCACATAATACCATGACATAACTTGACATTGTGCCACCAAGTGAGGCCCTTATGTCCCGTGACACATGACGTAGCAGGATTTATAAGCGCTATGCATTTAGAGTACCCCTGGGATGTAACACAGAGGCAGCTTTTATGGCAATAGTTGTGGCTCTTCTCACCATTGGAAATGACGTCCGTATTCGCTGTAGTAGTTGCTGATGTTGTAGTTGGCGCAATAGTCTAATGGGTCCGTCGCAATATTGTCGGCTTCTCAAAAAACAATCACCTGGACCTCTCTCGAATTGAACCTGGGTTTGTTGCTTGCGAAGCAGGCATTTTACCACAGAGCTATGCCACAGCATTGACGATCCGCTTTATCATACGTTTTTGTAGAATGAACGTGAGTTTTAGTCTCAACCAGTGCCCATCGGATGCTCACAGTTGCTGTGACGTCACAAAGGAAAATTCTTCCTAGCTCTTAAAGGGACCATGAAACCATTTTAGACATAATTTTACTGACTGCATATTGTTTACGGGATCAAAGGAAAACTAGCATGTGAGATTAGGAAGGTTAAATCCTAATTTTTGGCACGAAATTGTGGCAAATAATAACGGACTATATCTTACACTGTCTACCTTAAACGCTTGCAACAAAGCTGAGTGTATGAGTGGGTGGATTAATTAATGAGTTGTGGCGAAACTTTCTGTAATGGCGTTAGCTTGCGTCACCTAGCAAAGTAACCACAACATCCATAGTGTCGGAGCCTTTTTTCCCATTTTTTGGGGGACGTCAGTTGAATTTAGCTTCCGTATTGGATATGAGTAGTGTGTCACTGAAACTGTACTCTCAAACTATGAAATTGTCGATTAATACCGTCCATGGAATCGACAGAGTGTAATATTCAGTTGCATAAGCCACAGAGTCAACGAGAGCACAAGAGGTTTCTTCACAAGGAATTTCATTAGGAGTTTATATTACTTTGTTTACAGCGTTTTGTGTTTGCAGCCAAAATGTGAACTTACCATTCTGTACTGAGTAATCGCCACTCCTTTGCAGCAGGTTCTGGCACAGAACTTATACAGCCTTCTTCGGGGGAGTTCTCATCTTGCCGCTTGGGTTTGGTGGCTGACGGAAGAAGGCCCATACTTTCACTATACCGAAGCATTTTAAGCTGCACTTTACTCAGCTGCGACATATCCATAGCCATGTTGTTGATTGCACAAGTGTCGCAGACCAACGAGTTCTACGAAGCAATTGGTGTTCATAAAAACCCCAGTAGGTGACGTTCCGACATATTTGTGCCGAAACGTCGACGTAACGCGACGCTTGACTGATGCGGCTCCTTCACTCGGCCTAAAGAACTTCTGTTTCTTGTAGAAAGGCATACTTTATGTCACGGCCCCGCAATTTCACATGTTGATGGTCAGGTCGAGGAGGAAAGCAGACATGAGTTTTCATCTTTTTTTTGGTGCAAAACTGGAGGCAATAAGACGAAAACAGATTCCTGCTCTGGGTTCCATGAACATTAAAGATTAATTTGGTCTTCATTTGGAAAAATCTGAAAAATCCTTTCATGGTCCCTTTAACTAATTCCGAATTTAGTCGAAGCCAATTGTTGAAATTAAAAGCTTTGACTAGGTGGCGCAAGCCGCCGCCCAATGCGAAGCGCAACTTTGTCTGCTTCTTGCACAGGGGTTGCGAGGATGTCAGAATACCGAGCTCTTATTTGCTGATTGAACAAAATAAATAAGTGTGTAGACCTGAAGGCATCTAGCATTGAGGACTACCCACTATCCTTTCAATCGGAGCTCGGTGTCATTCGGACGTCACCACAACTCCAGCAAAGAAGCAGACGTTGCTCTCCACATTGTAAAAGTTTGGCGGTATCCATCTGTCCAATGCCACCTAGGAGAAGTGCCTACACATTACGCCATCGTTAGGGAATCCCCAAGCAGTCCCAAGCGGCAGGCGTGCCGAAGCTCGACAAGTGTACTGTGCAAAGCGGCAGACGTGGGAGTCTTGGCATCGCTGCCTGTTAGTGTTGCGCTTGTTGCGAGACGCCAAAAGACTCCGACGCGTTTTGCCATTCGTTGCAGTAAGGTGCATTCTCGTGATAACAAAGCCAACCGTGGATTAACACTGGACTGCTTGTTTGTTGTTTTTTTCATAGAATTGTTTGCCTTTCGTTTTTCTTTCTTCCCGCGAGTGCCGCGACTGTAGGGCATTGACTGACGTCGCCAATGACATTGCGGAGATTGAGCGTTTCACGGCTTTGGTTATCTTTCGTTTTGTTTATGTCGTTATGCCCAGAGTGCTGTTCATTTGATGAAGTTCCCGTGGCTGCGACACAGACGAACACAACTCGCATAATTGTAAATGTGCCTGTGATACCGGTACAGCTACGAAAGAAGTGCTTCTAAGGAAATCCTTAATTCGTTTTGTATTTGTGTGCAATATCTAGTCTAGGCTCGTTATAACAGACCTTGATTTTGACCAAGATTTCGGTCTGTTGTAAAAGGAGTGTGCTTTATGCAGATATGAAGTTGAGTCAATGGTACATAGAGGAAAACCAGCCAAACTTCACAGATCGGTATGTTATGTCCAAATGTCTGTTGTAACCAGGTCTGTTGTAATGAGCTTAGACTCTACTTCTGTCCATCCTTGTGGAGGCTGGTTTAAGGCAGATTTTACAGGCACATTTCGCGCTGCTGGCGCGTCTGTGGCACATTGTTTAGGCGAAGCGGATAGAAAACATGGGAGAGAAGCCACTAAGAGCTTGCCTAATAAGTGCCAATGATTAATGTTGTTTTGCGACGTGCAGAAAATTGCAGATTTTGGGCTGGCCACACAACTCAAGGGTCCCTGGGAACGTCACACCACGATGTGTGGCACGCCAAACTTCATGTCTCCGTAAGTTTTTCCCGAGGCTGCACCATGCTTTCTTAGAATGTCTCCGAGACTACTTAATACGTTATATTGCGCTACTAATACAAAGTACAATGTGAGGGGCTTATTTGTAAGCACTTTTGATTGACATATTTTCAGGACGATAGCTTCCACCTTGTGTACAGTGCGCACGGGCAATTTTTAGTTTAAAATGAGTTTTTGTTTTTTGTTGGATAGTTTGCACATATTGACTAGTATGCACAGAAAAAAATCATCGTACACAGGACACCTTGACAAGTGCCCACTTTATTGGCTTAAAACAAGCTTGTATGATATATAAATTATCATGATAATATTCTGTCTGTTTTGTCATAATGAACAAACTAGAAAAAACAAATTCCTGCATACTTGAAAGATGGCCCACCTCTATATTTTAGATAATTGTCTACTTTTCAAAAAACAGAAAGATAGCTCACTTTTAGTAATTGTAGTGCCCTGGTCAATGATGACCTCAACGGAGGAGGGGTTAGATAGCTGCGGCGGAAGATAAGCGAACGTTGCTGACTGAAGAGGACGGTTGTTTATGCTCCATTGCTCCTCAATCTGAAAACAAGTTTGGCAGTTCACAAATAAAAAAATAGCATTTTAAGAATTTTTTTTATTGCACACCGAAACTTAGTTTACTTCTCATTTTTACCTGATTTGCTCTCGCTTTTAAGTAGGGTATCCCAAGATATTACGGTGGTCGGCACCTGTATATAGTCCGCACGGCGTAACTCAACTCTTAAACAGGTACAGGGTGCAGCTGGACGGACTAACACATTTGGCACGCCTTGCACAATTTGAATTCCAAACGTACATACCTAACAATGTACAAGTGCACATGGTTTCGCAAGAAGATTGATGTCTATCTCTTTTTAGAGTTCAAGTCAGAGGCGGTTAAATATTAGAAATAGAGCAGAAACAGTGGCCACGCATTCCCTATGCCCTATACCGACGTTCGTCGTCTGCACACTGGTTTGCGAGCTTGCTCCCAGGTGGTCACTGTTCATACATTTTGTTGAAAGTATTAATTATTGCAATTACCTTGCTCATTGCCAGCCGCTGCCATTAGGTTTTAGCGTTTTTGCATTCACCAAGCCACCTGGAAGCGAGCTCGTGAACCAATATGCAGACGACAAGCAAGCTGGTATAGGGCATAGGAAGTACACGGCCTCCGATTTTGCTTTATTTTTAATATTCACTACCTCCGTGTTGAGCTCCCAAAGAAATAGACATAAAATTTGTTACAAAACTATGTTTGCGTGCCCAGTTTCAGGTATGTATGTTTGGAATTTGAATTTTCCAAGGCGTGGGAAGGACAGCCGTCTTTGGTTCGTCGCCCCTCCCTGCGATCGCAAGTTTCGCAGGTCACAAAATCAAACACCGTCTTTTTTCCAACTTTTTTTGGTTTCACTCCGAAAGTAGCCCACTTCTAATTTTCATCCGATTTGCTTTTGATTTTTGTGCGCCATCTCTTGGGATGTTACGGTAGGTCCCCCGAATTTGACTTATTTTAGTCGTTTTTCCTGTCGCAGCGAGGTTGCCTCTCGGGACCCCCACGGACTGGAGGCAGATGTCTGGAGTCTCGGAGTGATGCTGCACACATTCCTGCTGGGGCGGCCTCCGGCACAGGGCTGCTCCTTCGAAGTGCCGGCCGGACTCTCGAACCAGGCGAGGCTACTCCTGGTTCAGCTGTTGCAGAGGGATCCGAGGCAGAGGATACCCCTGCGCCGTAGGTGTCGCCGGTTTTGACCATGTTTTGCACCACACTAGATAGGGGGCGCAAGCTGCCACCCGATTTCAAAGTGTTTGGCCGCACGCATCCGTTTGTCTTAGAACTTCCTTTAGTGTACTACACCAATTGAATAGACTTTTTTCTAAATTAGCTGAGGACGAAGAACCATGCTGCGAGTGTAGTTACATGTGCTGATGTCTGCAGTGCACGGCCTTTCAGCTTTCTTGTAGGCGAAATCTAAAATAAAAGTCACCCTGCTCGTGCACTTGTCGATGCTCGATTTTAGTAATTTTCCTCGGATCTTATATAAGGTGAGCGTGAGCAGCACGTGTCCCCATGTTCCCAGATTTTGACAAAATGTCTATTCCTCCTGAGTGTAGTAATTGACTTCCTTTTGGATAAATAGAAAAAAAAAAATGGTGGTTTTATTTTGAAAATTTTTTTGTATCAAGGACTTTTCTCAGCAAATTGTCTTCAGGAGCTCGCCGATTTTTATACCGGAAGGTTGAAATAGTTTCGAGATACTATTCAACTTTTGTTCCTGATTTAGGCGAAAGTATGGAATGAAAATGAAGTCTTGCCTTAAAGGGGCCCTGCAACAACTTTTTGACTGGTTTTTAATTTGCACCGAACCTGAGCGCACTGAACGTAGTGAGTTAATGAAAGTTTTCTTTTCTCGAATTTTGCTTTATTTTAAAAGTTATGGGCAAACTAAAATTACAAAAACAAGCAAAAAATAACCTCCTTCATGACGTCGTTGGTCATGGCTTGAGTGGCCGTAAACTAGAGAAGGGGTAGTAAGCTCAGCGAGCGCTCACGGCTGCCGCACTCCGTGTCGACGGCTCGAGAGGGTGCCACTAAAGCACGTGTTGGATAGGCTGTATGAAGCGGGTAACCAGGGCGGCTCGCATTGCATTTGCTGCACGATTAAAGACTAATTTGGCACGACACTTTATTGGCTGCAAACGACAGCAAAGACGGGGTAAAGATCAGTTCAGAACGGGAGCCACTTACAGCTGCCATACTGCTAAACGGCCAAATCGCAAGCCAAACCTGAAGGCCTTCGGAACCGGTCAGATCCTCAAGCTTATGTACGACTGCTGACGTCTGCAGCGCCGCCGCATACATCCGGGACCTTTTTACACTCGCCGCTCGTCAGTGCCTGATCCCACTACCCCCTTTTAGTATGCGCCCCCTTTTCCACCGCTTGGTGGCGGGTATGTCGACAGGTCATTTCTTGTTTCCCTACTTTATAAGCTGCTTTTGTTTCTTTTCTGATCTAAAATGCTGAACAAAAACTACTTTCATAAATAAATGAAATGGTTTGCGCCACTTATATTTTGTATTTCGACTAAAAAAAAAAGCTTTTAGCGGCTCTGACTAGTAGTAAGGCCAGGACCAAAGACTTCACATTCGTGCGCTTTCGGCACCGCGGGTCGCCCCTGTAGGTGGAGGAGGTTTCCGTGTCGTCCGATTAAAACATGACGCACTGATATTTAGTTACTCTCTCCGTGCCCGCTGGCTTGCCCGAACCCCAAGAGACGTCAAAACCGCAAAAAAGTTAGACGCTTAAATATGATTGCAGGGCCCCTTTAAGGTACCCGTGCTCCATTCCATTCCAAAAGCAACTCTGTCTCGTGTCTAAATTTGGTAAAGCTCCATGCTTCGCTGAATTTGCTGAATAGCCCTCATGCCTGCCGACCTGTCAAAAATGTAATTGAGGAAAACTATGATAACAAGACACTTCAGGAGATGTGCTGTGAGCTCATTGCATTACTATGCATGTTCGGATAGCATCTTTGACACTTGGAGCAGTAGCGAAACGGCACATGTGACATGCACTTTTGTTAAAGGGCTACTCCGGCAATCTCTGGAGCTCTCCCAAATAAATATATGTATATTCTAAGTCCCCGGCCTTTACTCTTTCTGGCATGCTATTTAGTATCACAAAATTCGGAATAGGTATTGTGAAATTGCCAATGTAAAGCGATGCCGAAACCAGCACTCAAATATGGCCGCACTTTCAGTGCCGTGGCATCACTAATGGGCCGGCTTGCAGGTGGAGTAGGCACTCTAGAGAACAGAATGCTTCACATTTGTTTCATGCTGCTGTTTGGGTGCAGGAGCAAGCTTCCAAAGCATTTTTTTGACACCATCAAACACCTTGTAATCAGCAAGGAAGAAACTCGACTGCCCAAAAAGTATAAACTCGTGCCTGCCACTGGCATTGCTTTTTCACTGTTGCTAATAGAGACTTTCAGCTTGAAAAAAACAAAAAACGGGGAAGAGCTAAACTTGTAAATTTAATTACTTTATGAAAAGAAATTATTTTTGCCTAATATTTTGGCTCTTAGTTCAACAATGTTTGTTGGTCCGTTTGGCTGATTTGGAGGCGTGCTCCTTTCTTTTGTGTTCATCCTTGGTGCGCCCTCTTTTCGCCGTTTTAAGACAGGCTCTCGTCGGCGTTTTACTCAGGCATTCCCGAACAGGCCTTCATGTGCCAGGCGGGATGCCCTCTGAGGCCCCTGCCTTCGAGCCTCGGACCTCCCAAGGCTCCCCTCAACACCACGGGCTTGCGACCAGCTAGCCTCTGGGCACGCAACATGCGGGTGAGTGCGATGGGACCGCCCGTTACCGCGACGAATGCCGTTACACTCCGTTCGACCCTAAAGCCGCGGCCACACTCCTAAGACACTGTACGAAATGCAATTTAGACCTGTGTAGCTTCAGCCGCTTAATAACCTTGCAAGAGTGCAGTCTACGGCACTCTGAGCTAACCCCACGAGACCCCAGTTGAACTGGTAAAAGTTCCACTCGGGGCGCCATAGGCACGATAATTTGTCGGGAGCGAGATTGCAACGGACCACCGTGCATTCGTGCACGGATGGCGCTCGTAGAATCAGTGAGGCGTGCATTCACGGCAAACTTTGTGCACTGATCTGCTCGTCGGGCCGGTGGTTTGTGCTGATGCTACATCTCGGAAAGCCGCACGCACGTCGTTCTAAAGGAGATTCTCAAACTTTCCAACCACAAAGAACCTTTATACGCTGGAATGTTAGCTGAAGAGCCCGTCCCTGTCGCGACATTGATCAGTGAAGCGGTGCAGAAGCCTGCAGACCTTGTATATAGCAATGCACATACTAGGGAGTGTTTTAGCTTGTATGCATTCATGGTCGGTGACTCGGGTCTGTTGAAATAAGGCTTAAGAGAGGTTCACACACTTGTTCACACATTTGCGTCTGCTTACGCCGTTCCTTGACCTTGGCGGCAGGGGCAAAACACAAAGATAAATATGTGCATACAATAAAACTTGCCGTCTGCACTCTTTGTCTGAACGGAGGGCACAGGTCACCTACTTCCAGCCTTGCGTTTTGGTCCCTGGCAAGCAGATCCCTAGCCTCTTCGTTGTAGATCTCCAGGTAAGAGGCCCTCACGAGGAACCTTAAGGCAGCACAGGTCGAAAGGGTACAAATTATGCGAGGCTGCATGGAAACCCCCGAGTTTTCTCTGATAACTTTGCAACTTCAACGAGAAATACTCGATTTAAATTTGGTTACAGATTTGACCAGCCGTCAGTATAGGAGGCTTTGCAACTCTAGGGGTAACTCGCAATAACAAACTGTTTCAAAGGAACAAAACTGCCAGTCTTACTTTTTGTCGTCGCCAGCCTTGGCGATATGGCCAAAAATGTGAGCGAATGTGTTTGGAATGATGCCCTTCAGCTCCGGCACAGACCGATCTCCGGCCATGGTGTACGTCTTGCCGGTGCCAGTTTGCCCATAGGCGAATATGGTACCTGGATGTACACAAAAGAATGCGCTTAAGATGGCTGATGATTGGTGTGAGGTTGGATCCATAGAGCCACATTATATAAGTGTTAGGCAGATGCTAACATCCTGTTGCAAATGTCATCTGGGTTGGAGCCGTAAAGCCTATGGACACATTGTCTATTACCGGTTCTCAAACTTTTGGCCGTGTCACAGACCTCTCGACCCACTCGGAAGTCGTTCGAGGACCTCCAATGCATTCTGCACGAAAGGTATTGTGCAGTGGCATATATAGGAGGGCTTTTTTTTTTTTTAGAGCATTTTTTCTAAGATTTAGTGGAGACCCCTCCGATTGCTTCTGAGGACCCCTAGGGGTCTGAAGACCGCAGTTTGAGGATTTTTCTTTGACCGATGTGACCCTTTGACATTTCTATAACCTTGGCCATGCACACTGCAGCCGTAGTAGACGTATAATGACCAACACAAAACAAAACTTCACCATTGTATCCTTCGAGAACGTTTTCAACAATTGGTCTTGCAGCCTGGTTGTAGACGTCCATCTGCTTCGAGTCGGCGTCAAAGACCGTGTCAAAGGTGAACATCTTTGGAGGAGCATCGCCGTGAGACCCGGGGGGGTTGGCCACCAGGAGCGTGCCCTGGACGCTGTCAACCTTGGAAGAATGAACGGAGAGGTACAAGACTGAGGCCTGGCTGAACTTATGCGACACGTCTGATCCGTGCACGGCGGAACTTACGGTGACAATGTTCTGGCAGCCGGCAGCCTTTTCTTTCTCACTCAGCGGACGACACCGAACCACGACGCGGATGTTCTCGGTGTCGGAGGACATCGCTGGACTAGTGGCAAAAGAAAATATTTGTTGCATTCGTCCTGGAGATAGGTTGGGCGACATTAACTACCTATAGTCTGTCATCGGCTGCCTAAAGATACACCCGTATGTTGCAAGATTTGTTTTATGCTTTATTTCTGGAGGAAGTGATATCTTTTGCAACACCACTATAAGCTGAGTGCGGTGGAAGCTATACATGCTTGTTGGGCCACGTGCTTGTTGGGCCCATGCTTGTTGGGCATGCTTGTTGGGATATGTGTCTTTTACCACGCGATAATGCTCCTGCCCATATACTCACGGGCAGAGGGTGGAATCATGTGATGGAGGCGTTTGATTGTTCAGAGGAGTGAGTCTCCCACAGCACTGTCAGCCTAGGGGTGAATGGGGTATACCTGTGGCAATCAATCCAGTATTTTTTCTTACTTGTTGCAGCTTCCTGGCTAAATTAATATGTCAAGTTTTCGAGCAATCTGCAGTCTGAAAAATATGCACGCAACAAGCTGAAAAAAAAAAAAATGCTTTGTTTACATGAATTAGATGCAACCACACAAGCATGGACTGATGTACAAATAACAGTGTTAACTGACTTGGTGTTAACCAACGTTGGTGTTAACTATGTATACGAGACTAATCGACTGCCCTACAAGACGCGCGCTTGTTGCCTTCCACTGGGCTTTGGCTGCGTGCAACAAAGTGTTATCAAAAGCAGAAAGCTCAGCCGCTGAGCTGCTTAGACGCTGACTGTTGTGTTAGCATGTTGACAAGAGCAAGACCATTCCTTCTCGAGCCCAGACAAAGAGTCCTCTTTACTTTGGCAAGCGATAACACGCGTAACCTGGCTTGCTGAAAACCTCCCCCTTTTGGTTAGTTGGTGGATAGTATTACAAGTTTAATCTATACATTGGCTTCACTGTCCATCCACTTCTAGTGACGGTCAGACCTTGTAGCTCTGGTAGAGGCTGTACCCTGTCACTGGTAGCTAGAAGAGGCTGGAATCTGTTGCGCCTTACCCCATGGTCCATTTTGACCTGGTAGGAGTGAGGAGGACCTGCTTGATACGACCATTCTGTTTGTCCTCTCGTCAATTATACAGATGCATTGCCCACTTTGCAGACGTTTCAACAGACGTGCTACGTGTCTTGTGTCGAAGTTACATTTCTGTTTCTCCTCATTTTCTTCCTCCCACTTCCGTAGCTTCTGAGGCTCAGGAGTAACAGGCTTTGACAAAGAAGGAGCAATTGGGACAGATATGCAAATTCTTTGGCCCACTAGGAGTTCAGCAAAGCTAAATCCGTTTGCAAGGAACGTAGCACGGTATTATTGTAATGCACGGTAAGCATCAACAGTCTTCTTCCAGTTCCTCTTGACAATCTTTACTCCGGCTTCCACAAAACCGCTGCTCTGTGGAAACATTGGGCTGCAAGTTTTGTGTAAAAAGCCTCATTCTTTGAAGAACTTGAAGAACTCGGATCCAAGTAATTTTTGAAACTGTGGTTCTTTGTCGCTGTATATGGTCTCTGGCGTCACATCTCTTGCGAAGATAAATTTCATGTGGTCGACGACAGAAACAGCTGACAAGCTGGCCAAGAGGGCAACTTCGGGGTATCAGGAGTAATATCCCGTCACTAGCAAACCACTTGTATTTCAAGTAGAAAGGGTCTACGCTTGCTTGCTGCCAAGGCCGTTCAGGAAACAGAGTTGGTATCAAAGGCCCTTGGCGGTTGATTGTTTCCTGAATGCACTGTGTACACCCTTTTACCAGTTCTTCTATCTGCTTAGATAAGTCTGGCCACTCCACAGATTCATGGGCGCGTGCTCTGCAATTAAAAGATGCCTTGGCGATTCTGGTGAATGCTGTTCAAGACTTTGTCTCTCATTGCCTTAGAGCCGCCTCGGTGGCTCCGAGGCGAGAGCGCCGGCCTACGGATCTCCAGGTGGCGGGTTCGAGTCCCGACCGAGGTGCCCGCAATATGACGGAGGCTTATTGCGGAGAAGGCGCCGTGTAACCGAGCTTTCGGTTGCACGTCAAAAGATCCCCAGGTGGTCGAAACTAATCCTCAGTCCTCCGCTGGGGCGTGCTAGATGCCCGTCGTAGGTTTGGCACGTAAAACCCCCAAATTTGACTTTCTCATTGCCTTAGGGAATGATTATCCTCGACCCTCTCATTAGAAGGCCGTCTTCCACTGCAATGTCACTTCTGTGCTGCCAATAGGCACTGCACTCCTAGTTAAACGTTTTCTTGACTGGCCAACCCTCTGTACTGAAGTGCGTTAGAAACTGACATGTTGCGTCAATTTTCTGGTTAGCTTGCATTTCTTTCAACTTTTCGTCCGTTGCTGGAAGATTTGCCATGAGACCTCGCACATATGCTGATATCTCGTCCTCCACCTCCTTGTCCGGTGTATGTTCCAGGGGATTTCTGGAAAGGAAGTCAGCCGCCACTCTTTTCCGAGAACGTGTGTGATGTCATAAGAAAACCTTATCATCCGGAGTTTCATTTGCTGTAGTCTTGGCGTGATGTCTTCCAAGCTCCTGGACGAAAATATACGAACCAGCGGTTTGTGGTCCATCTCGGTCTGGATTTTCGTCCCTGTTTATAAAAGTCTCAAAACTTTTCGCACCTGCAGACCACCCAGTCCTTCCTTTTCGATCTGGACGTATCGTCTTTCTGTTTCGCTCTGTGTTCTCGACGCGTACGACACTGGTCTGTAGATCCCGTTCTTTTGCTTTAAATGCAATACTGTGCCAATGCCAAAAGAAGAAGCGTCTGTTGACAACATGGTTGATTTTCTCGTGTCAAACAGAACAAGTAGCGGGTCTGATGTCAAAATCAACTTTAGCTTTTCAAAAGCCCTCCGTTGTTTGTGGTTCCAGGCCCATTAATTTTTGGCAGTAATGCGATCACCAAGTGCAACTCTTGGGCCAAACTGCGAAAAAATTTCCTAAGGTAGTTAACCATTCCAAGAAAGCTGTTCAGCTTTGTGATACGTACAAGTGGGAGCTTTCATCTTCAAAATGGCTTCTACCTTCTCTTGATCTGGACGAACTCCTTCTTGATCGATGGCATGTCCAAGAAGCTTTATTATGAGTTTCTGCGAACCGACATTTAGCTTCGTTCAGGGTAATTCCTGCCAGCCTGAGTCGAGAGAGGACGTCTTGCAGGTTTCTGTCGTGTTCTGCTCTCGTGGATCCGTAGACAAGGATGTCGTCCATGTTGCAGACTTGTCCTTTGATTCCGCTCAGAAGCTGGCTCATCTTCCTCTGGAAGAACTCTGGAGCAGATGTAATACTGAAGGGAAGCCAGCTAATTTTAAAGCATCCAAATGGTGTGATGAAAGCCTCAGAATCTGGGGCTGTTGAGCAAGCTCAAACTGCCAGAACCCAGAATTTGCATCGATTCTTGAGAACTTCGCATTCCCA